TTAAACTGGTTTGCATCGGGGTTATGCCCACTGCAATACAGAATTCTACTTGGCCTGGAAGGCTGTTAGCAGAGCTCCACCAGCAACCTTTCCAATGGCTGCTTGACCACATGGCTAATTTCATGCAGCAACTTGGCCAGCCCACGAAACCTATGTATTTTTATCAAGGTGGTTTTTCTGATGCAATTAATGTATAAATCAGTAAGTTTGGGGTCAGATTACCTTCCACAATGCAGGTGGGCTTCATCCAATCGGAGAAGACTGATTATCACAAACAAGAGAGAATTTTACTCTACAGACAGCCTTTGGATTTGAACAACTCAGCCCTGGGTCTCCAGCCTGCTGGCTAAGTCAGCAAGTGTTAGGTATGCCAGCCTCCCTTATTACATAAAATAGCTACAATAAATCTCTTTCTCTGCACTGAAGTCAACAAATCCTAGTGCTTCTGTTCCTCCGAGAGGCCTAACACAACAATCAAGTGGTGATCCCAGGGTGACGTGCTGATGTTAGAACTTCAGATGGGACAAGCACAGTATTCCATTCCCTATCTACCTTTACCTTCATCTTCAACAAAAATAATCCCCACTGCATTTGGGGCTCTGGGATTTGCATCTAATACACCATTCCCATTTTACAGGTGGTAAGAGATTAAGTGACTTGCCCAAGGTCAAAATGATGGCACAAGTGAGATCCAGGATCCAATACAGGCTGCCTTTGATCCATCCAAAAGACCTCAACAACTAGACCAATAACTCATTTTCTGGGAGGAAATCCCTGAGGATGCACTTCTCTTTCTCCAAGAGTTGGGGCAGTGGATTTGATCCCTAACTCCACGCTGCCTCCCTGCCCCCTGTGAGGATCCATACTTTAAACATCTGCTGATGACTGGCCACCAAGTCACCAGCCCACAGTCTCTGCTCCTGGGGAACAGGACTGGGTGCCAGTGTCCAGAGCCCATGGACCTGTAACAGACTCACACCCTGTCTCTCCTTTCTGTCTGGACTTGCATTCTACCAGACCTCTGCTGCAACAGCTAGAAGGTCACGTCAACACCAAACTAGCCCTGGCAGCTCTCCTCTGAGACGCAGGCAGAGGCCCAGGACTGTCTGAGCAGAATGGCAGGCACCTATCTCATTCCCATTTAGATCAGAGAGGGCAAGAGTTTCCAAATGTCATTAAAATCCCGACACATGTGCCATGGTGGGGGAAGAAAATTAGTCTAAGGCACTGTGTTTTGGGGTCCTGATTAAGATGAAAACATTTGGGAATTTCCCTCATGTGCTTCAAGACCTGATTTGAAGGAGTTCCATGGACAAGCATCCCTTCCCCGGCAGCTCTGACTCTTATCCGAGGGAAAGGATCAATTTCCCTCAGACAAGGGAAATAGCTGTATCTGATTAACACCTTTCCTGAGACTCTGGCACTGCCTGTCACTTAGTCCTCCATGAGCTATTACCTGGAAGATCTAGCTGTCTATAAAGTTCTAACTTATATGGAATAATTGTACATATTTATGGTGTACAATGTGAAATTCTTATACATATGTACAATGTGTGATGATCAAGGTAACTGGCATATACACAGCCTCGAACATATGTCAATTGTTTTGTGTTGGAAACATGTAAACTAGCTCCTGAGATGTATGCACTCACCCACTGTCAATTGTGGTTCTCCTACTGTGCTGCAGATTATTTACCTGCATGGCAGGAGAGCCCCTGTTCAGGCTCCATGCCTTTCCATCCCCTTCTGTAACCTCTGCCCAGAAGCCCCAAGCTCATTTCTTTCTGTAGCTCAGGATACTGCATAAATTTCAACATCTGACACTTCGAGTCGTACAGTCAGTCCACGAAGCTTTCATGCGTGTGTATGCAATAAATTTACATCTCTTTCTTGTGTTAACCCATCTACTGTCAGTTTATTACAGACACTCAAGTGACAAAAGCTTTAGAGAACAGAAAGTCTTAACTCCCCAGTCACCAGATCAACAGATCTTAATATTATGGATTAAGCACAGATACAATTGGCTCCTTGATTTATATAATTGTTGTATGTGAAAACCATTTGTACTGGCTATATATACAAAAGAAATATCCCTTAACAAGGTAATCCACCTTACTAGACAAGACATCCTTGTCCATCAGAGGCTCTGACAAGACGGCTAACTTACTTGGTTTAAGAGAAAAGAGATTACTAGTAAAAGATGTTAAAGACCTGGTAATTTAGATCCATTATGATCACACTACATGAGAGTCACTTGAAAAGGTCTGGAATACAAAGCCTGTGAGTTCAGCAAACATTTACTGAGCAGCTACTTGCACTGACAAACTATTTCAGTAAGAATTCTTCCAGGAATTATCAAATAAAAAATTTGCCTTTTACTTCAATTATGTTTTGGGATAGAGAAAAACATATCTCCAGAGGATCCTACTTTTAGGTGGCAATGTAAGTACAGAATTTCTTTTCCTAATTTGAATACCAGCCTTCAAAATACATTTTCAGAGGTTGCGAGTTCACCTAACTTGCCTAGCAAGCATGAGGCTTGAGATTCAGTCTTCAGTATCAAAAACTTTTAAAAATAAATTAAAAATAGATTTTCAATTAATGTAACTAAAATGAACAAATGTTATTATCACATTGGAAGTCACTGAAAAGAAATAGGTCTAAATTAAAAGGACTAACACCAACTTGAACTTCCCTTCAGGTTTGTGAGAGAAACCAAAAATGTGTTACAATATAATCCCGAGAATTCAAGTTTCAGAGTTCTTGCCTCAGTCATTAGTGGCAATCCCTGTAGGCATTCGTTGGGGGAAACCCCCACAGTTCCATGGAAAAGAAAAACAAACATTTGTGTTTTTTAGCGAGAGGTTTGCAAGTAGCCAATCCAGGACCATTATTCAGCTCTCCTTGCTCCTGATTGGCTGCTGTCCTGTAACCTAGCTCTGGCAGAAGCACCAGCATCCCGCATATGTACAGGTTGCTGTACCACGTGTGGCTGTCTCGCTGTCTCGGTGTTCTTGGTTTTGTTCTTCTTACAGCCCTGAGATCCCTAAGATGCCGCCAAAATGCCCAGCACCTTCTAAGGCTTCTGGCAATGAACCTGAGCACCAGAAGACCAGGAGAAAGTCTTAAGAAACTGTACATACTTTTATTAAGTTAAATTATTACAGTACAATACAGTACAATATTTTATTAAATTACTTATTTGTGGAAGAGATAGAATACTTAGGGTTTAAACTATAAAAATAGCCATTTATAGGCATTTTGGTGAAAATATCTGAAAGTCAGTTTTTAAAAATTCATAGATGCTCTATGAACATAACCCCCACAAATCTGGGGGACCCATTGTATCTTCTTTGCTGTGTTTTTTCTTTTTGGTACTGGGGATCAAACTCACAATCCAGTGTTTGCCAGGCAGTCACTTGTGCCCCTCAGCTATATCTCAGTCCCTTTGCTGTGTTCTTTATTTAATTTAATGTAGAATTTTTTTACCAACTAAAACCATTTTTCTTGGCCAGGCATGGTGGCACATGCCTATAATTCCAGCACTTGTGAGGCTGAGGCAGGAGGATCACTGTAAGTTCAAGGCCAGGCTAGGCTATCAACTGTCTGTCTCAAAAACACACACAAATTTTTTTCTTACCATCTAAAACTATCTTAATGATATATAAAATCCTTGTGAACCAATGTAGTACATATCCCTGTAGGTTGAGAACATAGACAAACGGGGAACTTTGAAGTTCAGTACTTGAGACTGATTCCTGTTCTTGCCAACTCTGTGACTTTAGACAATTACTTAACCTCTCTGAATCTCCAGTGTTGGATCTGTGTCATGGCCATACGGCAGTAACCTTGTAGGGGTACTGGTATTGGAAGGAGAAGAAGGTGAGGTATGTTGAGGACCTGGTTTACGGCTTCATACAGAGCAGGAAAGTAGCACACTATACCACTCTCTGAAGGGCATGGTAATCATTGACACACTGCTTGGGCTGCCAGGGACACCCACTTACATGAGCCCAGGCCAGCCGGGTCTCGACAAGGAGGGAAGCATGTTGGGTGGTGTCTGAGAAGGCAGAGACCCATAAAGGCCCCAGGTAGAAGGCCCCTGGTATTTGTTAAGCCAGTCACTCTTGAGAGTCCTCATTCTTCCTCCCGCAGCCTTAGGATCCAGTCACAGGAAGATGAAACCCACTGCCTAACCCTGCACGGCTAGAAAGGAATAAAGTTAACATTAAAACCCAGGAATTCTGGTTTGAAAGCAGAACTGTAACCCACTGCGATCAGGCCAATCCAGTAGGTCAGAAGACCAGGTAAGACCACGAACTTGCATCCTTCCCAGCCTAGAATTTTCTAGTCTTCTTCTAGTTTTGTTCAGTGCAACTCTTCCAAATGAACACAGATGTGTGCTCTTTGTGGAAGGGTTTGCTATATTTAAATGCTGACCATCAACTCAGCATTTTTATGAGTAATATTATCTTTTAATATTTTTGTGTAGGCTAAAAACAAATAAAAAGTAACTTAGCAAGCAAAACTAGACTGTCATGTATGCTTTCTATTTTGTGTTATCTGAAACATTTTTAATATACTTATGCAGCAAATGTTTATCAAGTACATGCTACGGGTTACGTGCCTGAGTCCGTTCGGAGAGGCGGGCATAGAGAAAAAGCAGAAGGGCTCTCTTCCCCATGTTACAGTTGGGAAGACTGCCAGGAAAGTAGGAAGACTGCCAGGAAAGTAGCTAAGACAAAAGGTACTAAACAAATCAAAGACTTTCTCCAGCTATGGCAAGCTCTCTAAAGGGAGACCAGGGTGGGAGACTGGGGGTGACCTCAGTTATTTACCATAAGGGAGAGGGGACAAGGGTAACATGCCTCAGGCAAAGGTGAGAAACAGACAAGAAAAAGGGCTGAATTACTGCTACATCCAAAGTTCCCCAAGCCACAGGGCCTGAGGGGCACCACTGACTCCTCCCTAATACCAGTTCCATGACATCACCCACCTCCTGGGATAATTTAGCTCGGCCTGGTGTGGAAGGTCAAACCACTGCTATTTTGCAGTCTGCCTCAGTAGGTGGAATTGAGCTTTAATTGTCTAATTGCTACTCTGGCAACGGCTGCCATGGATTCATTTTGGAACTCAGCACAGGTGTGCTCTGAGGCTGATGTTCTATTTTCAAGGACGAAAAGAAGGAATCAGGGAGCTCGTGTCTTCTGCTTCAAGAGGTAAGATGAAGCTAATTTTTTCCCCCAATCAACTCATGCTATCTCATTTCAATGTTCCAGAGTGTCTCATCATAAATTAAACTGGGTTGTCAAATCCCAGAGCTCAAAACTGGAGAGATAGTTGGGAGGAGGAAAAGAAAAGTTTTGGAGCTCATTAAGAAAAAACTCCGTGTCCTTGAAATACACCACCACGTGAAGGGGCTGTTTGTGATGACAATGAAGACAGTGAGGAGGATGAAAATCATGATGTAGTGAAGAGGAGAAAAACCAAAGTCAGGATGATGCCAACGAGGTGGGAGCCACTGGCGACCCTGTCTGGCGCTCACGCACTCCACTAACCAAAGCCTCAGGCTTCAGGCTGAGGTAAGTGAGCAGCCGCAGGCCCACTGTACATTTTTTAAGAACAGCTTTAAAAACTCTATGTGAATTTCTTAAAACAGCTATTGCATTCTTGATTCCAGCAGTTAATTCAATTTCAAGAAGAAACTTTTTTTTTTTTTCTTTTCAAATGCTTGGGAGATGGACATCCTAATTTGTACAGGCTTTAATTATTTTAAAGTCAGCACTGAGGAGATGAGCTGGGGCCAGTGGCATGCTCTTCTGCAAACTCCATATGGAGGGGAATGGAAATGCCAAGGCAGAGCGGCCTTTTCAAGAGACCATCAGCAAGCAAATCCCAGAGGCTTTGACTGTATCTCGGTCCCTTTTGGAAGTGTTCACAGGGCAGGCTGGGCCATTAGCAACTGGGTTTTATGTACTCTGGTCGCTTCATGGATAGAGAAGGCAGTGTGAGGAGAACTCAGGGCTGGGTGTCAGTTTAAATGGGCAGGATCGAAGCCCTTGGATGTTGATTTCTTTATCCAAGGATGAGAATCACAGCTTATACCCTCCGCAGACACCAAGGGGAGATGATGTAAAATGGCCCTGGAAACACAAGGCCATGATCAAGCCAAAGAGATCGCTGCCCTCTCCCCTGACTGCACTAGGAGCAACTGTGTGCAGGGCACCAGCTCCTACTCCTTTCCTCCTCACTGGGCATTACTGTCACACAGCCATGTCAAGCACAGATGAGGCTCTGTGAGGGTTTTGATTTGCAAAAACTTTAGTTCCTTTACAGAAAAGTTCACCTAAGGCCTCCTTTTTTGTTTTTCCTTCAGTGCTGGGGATAGAACTAAGGGCCATTTCACTGATCTACAATTTCATACCCTATAATTTTTATTTTGACACAAGGTCATTCTAAGTGGTTGTATTACTCAAGTAGGGCTCAAACTTGTAATCCCAAGTAATCCCAAGCCTCCCAGGGTTCTGGGATTATAGGCATGCACCACCACCTTCAGTTTGTAAGATCTTCTTTACTCGCCTCCATCAATCCATTTAAAATGTGATCTGATTGCCCCAGAAATAGAAAATGGTCTCACAGTTCTAGAATAGAAATAGTGCTCCTTTCATTGAGATCTTTGCATTTATTTTCAAATCTAAGTTTCCCAAAAGTCCTTCAAAATAGATATAAATTGTCTCATTTTTGGAAAAACTAAGGCTCAGAGAATGCAAATCATTTATTCAGTTTTGCACAAATAATAAGCAGCAGGAACAAGATGTGACCCTAGATTTGCCCTACGCCATAGCTTCCTCCTCTTCCTGTAAGTCACACAGAGCTTGGCTGTCTGAAGGTAATGGCTACAGATCTAAAGACCATCATAATTTAAGTAATGACTTAACTTGTGAAAAACTTAGGTCTTTCTACAAATACATCTTATGAATGTGTTCCTGTTACCAAAGACATGTGATAATTCTTTTGGACCAGTCTTCAAAATGTAAGTCTCAGTACAGTAAGAGCACTGGAGCCCCTCCCGATTCAGTGTTCAGACACTAACGTGTGGCTGGAAGGGCGGGTGAGTGAAAGATTACTACACACCAGCAGCCTAAACTGCCACCTAACTCACCTTCCTTATCTCGCCTCGGTGCATACTCAGGGAAGCCTGAAAAATTCAGATAGTGTGACCCCTGAGGGTCAGTAAACTCCCTCAAATGCACGAAGTGAGCCTCAGCCATATCCTGCATGAACCTGGTCCAGGAGACAGTCAGGGAACCACAAAGCCTTGTTTCTGGGTGCACCGGCTGTGGGGCCTTCGGACAACTTCACTGACATCTTTGAAGTTTTGTGCATGAAAAGCAACTCTGCCACTCTTCAATTTCTGGCCTCCTTCCTTTGGAGCTGACTGCATCTCACTGTACTTTAGAACACCTGCTGGGCGACCCTGTGTTTGGGTGGGTGCTTACCATACCAATTAGTGTCTACCAGGAACAGCCAGCGGGGGCTGTGTCTTCTACTTAGAAGACAAACTCTGGGTAGAAAGCTGAGACTGAACACTCTACAGAGTCCTCAGCCCAATCCAGTCACAGAATCATCCCTGGAAGGCAGAGCCACCAGAAAGGACCGGAAAGCTTAGTAACTTGCATCTTGTGGTGTTTAACTGATTACAAGAGCCACTTTCCTTGGCAACTATGTCAGTAAGAAAGGAATACAAAGGCTGCCAGTCAGAGGAGGATGGCTACACACACGCACATGCGCGCGCGCACACACACACACTATAGATATATAGTTTTACATATGTATATGTGTATATGTCAATGTACACATATGTGTGTATACAAAATATGTATTATTTGTGCATTAAAACCAACTATGAGCTTTGTAAAAATTCAGTTGCTTTATCCTTGGGTTCCCACACACAGAGGTTTTTTTTAAAATATTGAAGGTGGGACCTGGGTGATCCTGTTATGCAAGAAAAAGTATGAACAGGGCCTTCAGGTACCCTTGGGTGCACTGACCTCGCCACCACTCAGGGGCACAAATCCCTCCCCGGCTAACAGGCAGGACTTGGGGGCAGCTGAAAGTTCAGGCTAGCAGTGGTTTCCAAAGTAGATTAGGTGAGAACGCTTTAGTATGTCTCCAGTTCTTAGCTGAAAGTTAAGAAAGGAAGCTTCACAGATGTTTAATACATGTCTTGACACTGGTGTCCTCACTCAACTTTGTTGTCATATGGTCACGTGGCATGACTCTGTGTGGCATGCACAGCACCCGAGAGAAGGGCAGGAGAGTCACAGGACAGGACTGGTGATGGCAGGGATGCTGAAGGTCAGGGCTTAGAGCGCTGTGACGGACACACTGGCGAGTTTGCTAGGTCGTGGATTTGTGGCCAGCTGATGTCACCTTAACACACTTTTACAAATGACCCAAACAGATTACCACACACACAAAACCCCCTAGAGTAGGACTGTAGTAATGTAAGCACATCCTTCCACTGATGTGGGTTCTTCGAATGCCTCCTTACAAAGTAAGAGCAATAATAAGAAATTGTAAACATAACCTGATTTTCAAAAATCAAAATTATTCAGATGGTTTTTTAAAATATGGATTTTACATACTATTATTAACTATGAACCTTAACTTAGTACATTTCATGCTTTGGAATAGAGATGACTCTTATTTTGCATATATATATATATATTTCAGATACCTAACTTTAGTTAAATAACATTGGTTCTTCATCTTACAGCTCCAATTTTAGTTTCTATAGTATATAAATTATCAGTAATTTGCATAAAGAGCAAATTCAGTCTACAAATCACTATGTAAATAACGAATGTGTTTCATGAGCAGTAAGCAATCACATTACCTATTTCAAAGTTAGTACCGATCAGCCACATGCAGGCAGCAGTGTGTGCCACTGTGCCTTGTCCTCGGTTCCTAGAGACCCATCGTGACCTTTTCTAAAGATGAGTGGGCTGGCCACCCAAACTGAAGGTACAGCCACAGAGTGAAAATCCAGTAGAAAGGAAATGGGATCACAGAAGAAATGGCTGACCACAGAGTCAAGATTCCAGTTTGAAGCCAGAGGAATTTAATAAAGGTAAAATATTGATGGAAACAGGAAAATGGTTGTGGCAAAAAAAGATGGATATGTCCCAGAGGAGATGACACAGACGCAAAATTCCAGGTTAAACAGCTTTCGGAGATATTTCATGGTATTAAAATGTTGGAAGCTGATCCCAGCTTTGAAAGGAACATGACGGTTTGCCAAGTCCCAGGGAACATACTTGCTTTGTATCACTGTTATATGATGAGAGGAGGAAGACAAGCACAGTTTAAATTACTCTTAAGAAGTTTTTTTTTAAACAAAGAAATAAAACATTTTAATTTGCAATATTTCTATTTTAAGCTGCAGTACTAAATATACATGAGTTTTACTATTTTCCTTATTTCCCTATGCATATCTAACTAACAGTTTAAAAATTTTTTTTTAAATTTTGAAGGTCACGGGACAATAGTAGTTTTCCTCACTGCCTAGTAAGATTGCTTTGCAAAAATTTGGTTCACGTGGTAATTTTTACGCCCTCACACTGTTATGCAAAGCAGGTATTGCTTGTTTTGGCTAATGATAATGCTGTGGATAATTTATTGACAAACAAATATATATGAATTGGCAGCTAATGTTCAAACATTTGGCACTGAGAGGGCACAAGTAAAACAATATGGAGACCTCTGGCTTAGAAGAGGCCCACTGAAGAATACAGGGCAGCAAAAGAATGCAAGGCTGGCAGGCATAAGGGGCTAGAAAACTCAAGTCTCAGTGTTGCTTTCTCATCTTCTACTGAGGGTAAGGCTTTGCTCCAACCCTCCTGCCCTGCCCTGCCCTGCCCTGGCCCTCTTAGGTCATCCTCACACCTCTTGCCCTGGCTGCCCCCTAGGAGGTAGGTCACTTTATTCCTCAAAAGGCAACCACAGAAAGGTATCACCTGCATATGCCTCAGACATTCTTCTCTTGGGCACCACTGAATCCAAACCTGACGATAATAAGATCCCCAAGAGATTCGTTACTCTAAAATTTTAGATGCACTGGAAACACAGGCCAAGCAGAGAGAGGGACTTCCTGTGTCCTATCTCCAAGGACCACATATTGAAATCCATGTTTTGTACAAGGTGCTCATCTCAATGAAAGGCTTCTACTCCTCATAGGATACTACCAGGAAGCAAAAAGACAGTCCACAGAATTGGTAGAAAATCTCTGCAAAAACACATCTGATAAGGAGTTTTTACCTAGAATATTTAAAACTTAACAATAAAAAGAAAAATAACTAAACAATGAGCAAAGGATTGGAACAGACATTTCTTTGGAGAAAAAGACACATCGTGACCACTGGGTACATGAAAAAAATATTCACTATAATGAGCCATTAGGGGAATACAAATCACAATCACAATGAGATACCACATCACACCCAGCAGGACAGTCATCACTACGGCACAGAAATGACAAGCACTGGCGAAGCATGCTGGGCATTGCTTCTGGGGGTGGGAAGTAGCACACTCTCTTCAAAACAGGTTAACAGTTTCAGAAAATGCTGAATGGAGAGAGGACACGACCTACGTATTCTGTTTCTGGGTATGTATCCAAGAGGAAACACAGGTCCATGCAAAAACCTGTACGTGAATGTCTAGAGCCGCGTTACTCATAATAGTGGAAAAGTGGGAACAACCCAAATGCCTGTCACCACTTGTAATCACCGAATGTGGTATATCTACACAGTGGAAGATTATTCAGTAATAAAAAGAGATGAAGTATACATCCATGCTACTATATGGGCCCACCTTGAAAACTATGCTAAATAATGCCATTAACTAGACACAAAGAATTATAGATTCTATAATTCCATGTATATAAAATCTCTAGAAGAGTCACTACCATAGAACAGAAAATAAAGGGAGGCTCATTAGGGGCAGGGAGGATGGGCTGAAGAAAGAGAAATAATAATGTGTGGGAGATTCTACAGCTGAGAAAACGGGTATAGAATTAGTGGTGAAAGTTGTACCATGCTGGGAACATGCCCAAAGCACTGATTTTAACACTTTATATACACAGCGGTATGATGTGTTTTAATAAAGCAGTTGAAAGAATCGGAGGCATACAGCCACCTCCATAATTCACTGCCCTAAAGACGTTTGTTGTGATCTGGGTTAGAGCTGGAGCTCAGATCTGCCCTTGTGCCCACTTCTGATTATCTGCTATTAAAAGGAAAATATTTGCATCCTTGAGAAATAATGGACACGATGATGGGCAGCTGGAAAGTGAGGTCCCCCCAGACCCAGGGTTATAATTAACACCACCACCAACTGGGAAGCTAGTCCTGCTCACACTTTATATGCTCCCCACTGGGGAGCCAAGCCCCGGTCTGAGACCCCTCTCAGAGGGGAAGGGGAAGTGACAAGGGACCCAGTCATGTCGTGATCTCTAACTAAGAATAACCCAGCCAAGGGAAGGTGGCTGGGGAAAAAAGATGGCTAATGTGGTAGGAGTGCCACACCAAATTTCTTTCTCCTCAACTAATTAGATTTTCATTTTAATTAGGCTAACTCCATCTGCCACCTCTTCTTACATCCACACACTAACAGAACGTGAGATTGCATCTGAACAAATCCAAGCTTTCTCTCTGGATGGGTTTGAACATCAAAAAACGTAGCAAAGGCGAAGTTAGAATGTGAAAAGGGGCCTGCCTAATTAATAATTCAATTAGCTGAGCTGCTATGGGTAATTTCCACTTCACCTATGAGACTTTCTTCTCCCCAGGTCAGCCCAAGAGAGAGGAACACGTTGGCAAAATGTTAGAAATGACGGTTCCATGTTCCCCAGGGACTTTTAGGACCCCAGCCACCAGGAAAAGTCAGACAGAAACCTAGAAGCATGGCTCAGAGCTCCTAATTCACCCCAGCTAGTTATGCATGCGAGAAGAGAGAGGAGTTGAGAACATCTAGTTCAACATAAATATGTCTGTTCCCTGTGTACCTTCCAAACCTTAAATGCTGCACGTTCTTCTTCAGCTTCTAGTTAAAAGGAAAAATAAAGTTAATTGCACCAGTCCTCTCAAAAGATGAGAGCAGACTAGCAAATACGTCCATACAGCACCGTGCAAGCACAGATCACCTGGCTCCATGTTTAAGTGGTGCTCATTTCTCATCAGGCACCAGCAAGCTCACCTGGGGTTCTGCAACCATGTGCAGTCCCACAGCTGTCCCTCTCTCTCATCCTTAGGGTCAGCATGTCATTTAGACCTCCGCAGGTTCCAACTGCTGTGGCTGATTTGTGAGCAGCCCAGAGTTCTGGGAGGGACCATTTGTCTGAGTGCTAGGGACGATATCCTTAAAGTACAAAACAAAAGGCCATGACCTGTTCTAATGTGCTTCTTTTCCTTTCCTCCTCCTTTTTGTTTTTAGGATGACTTTAAACTTTCATGGCTCTTCTAAATTAAGTGAAGAGATAGCAAAGATTTTAAAATGAGACCCAAAGGGGAAAAGACGAGGAACACTCCCCTCTCCCTGCTCCAGCTGGAGCTCTCAGTGACTTCTGCGACCTGCTGTGTCTGGGCCAGCCACCCCCACCTTTTCCAACCCTTCCCGAGATCTGACTGCATCTCAGTCTGTTCTCCCTGGGCCCTGCCAGAAGGGAGCACTCCTGTGTGCCTGGGACCACCCACAGACTGCAGGCTTTGTTTGGACAGGAAGGCCCAACTGAGAAGAGGGAACATCTTGCCTGCTTCCAAGAGGGGGTGAGTCACCTTGGTTCAAGCAGTCGGCTTTCTGTAGCAGGGATGCACAGAAAGCTTGCCAGGACTACCTTACAAGGCCAGAGTCTGCTGGCAGCCAGAATAGAGGAGTCTGTCCCGTACTTGGCTGACCGGCGGAGCACAGCCCTGCTGAGCTTTATACAGATTTATACACACAGATTTACTGATACATACAGATTCCTGGGCCCACGCCCAGAGGTGTTGATACTATAGCTGCTGCCCAGCACCTGCAAATCTGTATTGTGTAAGTGTCCTGGGTGGGAGAGATGTACAACCAGGCCTGGACCCTAAAGGGATACATACCCTTCAAAGAAGGAAGGAGAGGTGGACATACAAGACAAGACACGTCTCTCAACACTGATATTATGGGATTATTTTCTAGATATTCTTTGAAAGAGGACCTGCATCTGGGAACATTGAGTTGGACAGAAGAATAGAATTTTTAAAAAGCAAAGTCTTGGGAAATAAGCAGAGCTGGTATCCGGTTTTTCTGAAACGGACAGACCCAAGTTCAGTTCCTCCTCTTTACTTAAGGGCTGCGGAATCTTGGACAAACTCGAGCCTCTATGTCCTCCAGTGACAACTCTGGAAAAGTGAGGCCATGGATGATGACAAGGGCCACCACTGAGGATCACCTGCTCTAGTCACTGCTCTAACCTTGCAGGCATCTGCTCACGGGGATGTTGTAAGTATTACATTAGATTGTCACGTGACATGCTTAGTACACTGCCTCACACATTGTGAAGGGAAGCTACTGTCAGGGCTCTACGTCTTTAGGTGATGAGAAAGGTGACTGTCCCCACTGTCTCTTTTTAGAGGACCAGAAAGCTTTGCTGGTCTCCAGCCAGCAGCTTCATTGTCACACACCCGCTCCGGTCCAGCCCTTGACCTAGTTTCTGACATGCACGTTTAGGGTCTGGAATGAAAGGCCCTGGCTAAAAGGAAACTATTCTTGTGGAACAGAACACTAGACTTGGGATATAATGCTTCAGATATCATTTATTTTTCTAATCAATTATTTAGCAAGATCCTAAAGTGTTTAGGATAAAAAAAGAAGTCAAGGGAAAGCAGAAGTCAAGAGTGTACAGCAGGCTAAAATTTGCATATCCTTTCAAGTTAAAGCTCTTCACCTCAGAATCACAAACTCTACGGAACTATTGTAATCCGTGGACGCTCTCTCTCCCCAGAAACCCCTTGTGAGCAGGTGCACACATAAAACTTCACTGCAGGGGACTGGTTCATGGAAGGCCACTAGGGAATGCCCAGCACAGATGGCTTCTGCGTATAAAATCCATCCTTTAGGTCGAGGGTTGCCAAGCGCTCTCTGTAAAAAGCCAGAAAGTAAATATTTTAGACATTGTGGGTCCCACAGTCTGTGTCACGACTATTCCACTTCGCCACCAAAATGCAAAAGCAGCAACAGTTTATGACTACACAAATAACATGGCCACGACCAAACAATTAGGTAGTTGTGTCCTTGTGTTACTCAGCTTTGTGGTGTCATGAAAAAACCTGAGAAAATCATCTTAGAGAGGCATACATTTATGTTGTCTCAGGATTTCAGCCCATGGTCACTATGGTGACACAGACCATCCCAAGATAGGCAGATAGTAAAGGGAGCTAGCTGCTCCCCTCGTAGAGGCTAGGTCACAAAGAAGTGGGGGTCCTCCAAGGCCACACCCCTGAGGACCTACTACCTATAACCAGCCCCTACCCTAGTGTTCCCATCACCACCCAGTACCCCATTAAATTACGAACTCGTTAAGTGGGTTAATGCACTCATGAGGTCAGCACACTCATGACCTACGTACTGCCCGGAGGCCCCACCCTCAGACATTGCTGAGCTGGGGATTTATGCCCTCAACACATACTTGTCTAGGGCCACTAACTAAGATCCAACCCTAACAGATTCAACACTGTGTCTAGACGGTGGCAGTGGGCTGGATCTGGACCAGGCTGTAGTGTGCTGACCCTTGCTTCAGAGTTTTGGCCTGGTCCAGCCCATCAGCATCCAGTCAGGGTGTGTGGGGGCCTTGAGCTTTCCATGCAGTGAGCAAACACCTGCCTTTTGCCCCACAAGTCTCCTCCACCCCCGCTGAGCAGCCTGAAAGCTTAGTATTCTCTCACATATAAAACAAAGGAGGTTCCAGAAAGTTCTTTCTAACTTGAATCCAGCATGGTCCCATCTCAGAGCATCCACCATTGGCAGTGTGCATCAAACCCCTCCTGCATGAAGTGCCTTAGCTGAAGAGGAACATTGCATCTTGCAAAATGAGCTCCACGTGCACACACAGGACTGGACTGAGTGATTCACTGGTAGTATTGGTTCATTTCACATAGATTTTGTAGAGGATGGAAAAAGAAAAATCAGACTGCAAACTCAAAGCCGGTCTGGGTTGTCCCAAGTAATTACATGAATTCCCTAAGTGAAGCTGCCATAGGTTAGAAAATGGCCCTATTAGTTTTGACAAATTTCATCAGAAAATGCTGCGTCTTTACATGCACCATGATTAAAACATAACCCACAGACAGCAGGAAGAGAACAGCTACTCCATTCTCCCCTGAGGTCATGTTTTTTTAAAGAACCTTTTAAATAATATACATGGCTGTAATCAGACACGACCCAAAGATAGATGTGACACTATTAACTGCAGCGAAGGGCGCATTTCTCATCCCTTGTCTGCTGGAATTGCCCTGTCCACACACGGGATGGACATGTGGGCTGATAATGAAACCTGCTTAATGCTGACGGCAGCTTCCCTCCCGCATACTTGCCGCAGGCTGCTCTGTGTGTCCTCAGCTCCGACTCACTCAGAGAAGCCTGTGAGTGGGCTGTGGCAGAGGCCACCCTGCCAACCAGACAGAGAGACAAAAGTCACTTGGCTCAAAAACCGTTTGTACTTTTCAGCCCAGCTCCCAGTTCTCCTTCATCTCCTAAGGAATCTCTTTTCCACATAAACTTGCTTCCTGTTAACATGGGGCGGGGAGGTGGGCTGGTTTCCATCCAGACAAAACTGTTAGCTCAGGCACAGTAACTAGAGGAAAAGGGGTCCGAACTCCCAAACCACACAGGACAGGACAAGCTTGTTTAGCAGCCGGTTCAGTCTGTGTCTCGGACTTCCCAGTTCTCACGCACGAATGTATCCTCGGGGCTACACCGTACAGTTCCAAACCAACTTCCATCTCTAATCTTGCAATGGTCTGCTTTTGAGTTTACTCAATTTAAAAGAGCTTCAGAGTGAATAAGGGGTTATTTCCATGGCACCCCAAATGTGTGCAGTGTCAAGTGATGCATCCTTCAGGGACAATTGTAATTTACAAGGTCTGAAAAGATGCATTTGTCTCTACTGTGGGCATTGACTTATTCGCTTGCTAAGATTGCCTGAAGAATGTTGGAGGAAGCAAGCCTTGCATTAGAGAAAGGCTCCTTTTGGCTAAGAGATGTTCTTTTTTTCTGAATGAAAATAAACAGCAATGTCTGCCATGGACTGTCTCTACAGGTGTGTCTGAGCACTGTCCCTGTGTCCTCCACAGGTGCAAGAATCATGGGCTTGGACACTTTGCACCAGGAAAAGTGCTCGGCCCTGCAGGGGAAGCCATGTTTGGCTTTGTCCTGCAAGATTCGATGGAGTCTCCTAATTAGGAAGGCGCCTGGAGAACATCGAGAGGTCAAATATTTCCTAGCTGTGCAGAAGCCTGGCTTGCTCATGTGCTCTCCTTGTGTGTAGGTGAGTCACTTCCAAACACAGCCAGAAGCACCAGCTGCTGAGCTGACGTATGGCTGCCAGCCTTAGGAACCAGTGCCTCCTTCTCCAATGCACACACAAGCGGGGTCACAGCCCACGTGGGTCCGTGCACAGTCCCAGGGCAGGAATCCTGCTCCAGGGGAGGGTAGCTTCAGCACTGCCAAGTCAGAAAGCCTAAGCTCTCCTGAGGAGCTGATGCATGACACCAGGTGGCCAGCCAAGGTCGTCATCTGGAAGAACGCTGGGAATCAGGACATGACGCTGGCACTGGATGCCGGTTCCCTGTCTCCTTGGTTCCAAAGCCTCATCCCGTCACCCACAATGTGTTCCTTTTCTCCCTCTGCTCCTCTGCCCTCCCTTCCTCCCTCCTCCCCGCTCCACCTTCTATCTTTCCATTGACCCTGAGAGTGTCTTTGGATAAAGCCACACAGGCTTTCCTTCTCTGTCTTTAATCTGTCGCTAATTGGGATCAGTACTTTCCAGTTACATAAAGAGTGCCTGTGTGGCTTCATAGCATATGCTGACAAATCATCTGGCAAACGCGTTCTTTTGTTGTAGCAAACAGCACTGTGGAGGACCGTAGTATTGGCAACCAAATATGTACACTCATAATGAAGCCACAGAGATAAGAAATCCATCTCCACGCCGGTGGAGCTCTAGGGAGCCAGTCATATTAAAAATGAAAATAGCGATCTATTATATAGGAGAGATGGCTTCAGAATGGTTTCCAGATGGATCCAGGAGGCTGAGGGAGAACTGTTCAAGGTTCACAGAGAGAGAGCGTTCAGTCACAAACAATTCACTTTGGAGGACTCTGCCCCAGCCTTATGTATGTAATTAAGATTTCAGAGTGGTCCCAGAAGCCAGACTGGGTACCAGGCTAGATGACAGTAAAGAATTAAAGCCATTGTCACTTGAGAAGATGGAGGCTTTGCTTATGAACTCAACAAAGACAGCTAAGCACCTACTATGTGCCAGGCACTATCCTAGGCTTATGGATTAAATCACTGCATAAAACAAATGTTCGTGCACTTACATTTAGTGTTGGGGATGGGACTTACATTCAGCAAGGGTAGACAAAATAAATTACACAACATGTTCAAAAGTGGTAAGTTCTTTGCATAAAAGAAAAATGGAATGTGTAGGGAATTGACAGTGCCAGAGGAAGGATATTAAAATTTTACATAAATTCCCAAAGTAGTTAAAGGTTAGGTTTGAAGGAAGTAAAGGAATGGCTGGTGCAAAGGTCCTGAGGCCCAGCACTCATTCATAGAGTGAGGTCTCCAGATCTGCGGCCACCACTGGCTGGTGCTGATTGGACAGACAAGAGAAGTGGCGAACTCCTACACAACCGTGCGGAAGCAGGTGGGGAGCATCCAGCAATGCAGCATTATGACAAGCTGATGGGGCCTCCTGATTATCTGAAAATTCTGCTGGGACTTCTAGAGCAGGAAGACAGGGGAAAATCCAGTAGGAAGTCTAGAATTCCAGAATTAAATTCTTCCCAACAAAGCTCAGTCAGTGGTGTATTTCTTGTGCCTACTGAGTGCTCAGGTCTCGCCTGGGAAGGCACATGCCTGGAGGTCCCAGGGGTCCTCCTTGCCACAGGAAGTACTTTATTTATTTAGACCTCTCATGATTCTCTTCTCCTCCATTTTTGTATATTGATTGATTGGTACTTTGTCTTGTTTCAGAGAGAATTTAAGGCAGCTCATGAGGATACATAAAATACAAGATGGCATAAATTAAAAATAGGAACAAAAGGAAAAGAAAAATGAGGACAGGGACATGAAATGGAGCCAAGAATGAGGCTAAATCACATACCAAAAAGATGTATGGGCCACAAATTTGGCTCTAAGTCTATAGCAGTCGATGTGGAAAAGGAAAAATTATACAATTACACAACTCACTGTGTCCAAAAAGTAAAATCAGTCCAAGAGCTCTGGAAAAATTAAAACACTCATGCATTCTGAATGACATCACTCTATCCATGCTCCTCTCTGGGGACTCTGTTCATGACCTGTCTGTTGGAGCAATTCACCAAGTACCCGGGGACAGGTGAAAAGCAAACTCGTCTGCCACTCAGCTGTCACCCGCCCACTCCCTCAACCACCTCTGCTTTCTAAGGATGAAGCTTGTGGTGGGCACTGAATTGGGAGCTGGAGATAGACCAGGGCGACAAGCAAGTGGTGGCTTTCCTCCTGGCTCTTGAGTTATTTGCAAAACACACCTGAACCAACAAATCATCGCATCCTGCATCACACTATGAAGATCTGAAGCAAGAAGTAGTCACTGGCACCGAGTCAAGATTCTCAGGAGCTCTTTTCTCAGGTCCTGAGACCCAGCAGCATTCAGCCTGGCTAAACCACAGGCGGCTCAGACCAGTAGCCAGGGTAGGCTGGATCAGATCCTGGGTTTATCCTAAATGCAATAAAGGGTTGTAGGCCAGGCAGTGGCACCCAGTGAAAGATAGCCCTGCCTGTACCTTGGCCAGTGGACGGGAAGAGGCGGAGTAACTGGTCAGTGAAGAGGTCAGCACTGGCACAGACTGGGGGCAGGGTGGGAGGCGAGCAGAAAAGGTGGGGGCTGGTTACGATAAACTGAAGAGGGTTTGGGATCACTCGATTTGACAAGTAGGCGGACAGTTTAATAAACGGACAAAGGGAGAAAGAGTCAAGTATAACGAGAGTTTCCAGGATGGAGGTGGCCATGATAACAACAGGCACAGTGGCCCCAGTGCCAGCTCACAGAAGCCAAGGCCATACCTGGACTGGGCCCTGTCAAAGCACCAGGTATGGATGTCCATGTGCAGATAGCTCCATGGGGCTGGCAGTGTCTTGCCAGCTAATTTTGATTGTAAATTTGCCCGGATAGGGGCCCTCCTGGAGAGGTGACTTGGTTATGGGAGGTTGTAGTCATCAGTGTCCTGAAGTGTCCCTCACAGCAAGCCATTGGAGCATGTATCTCTTCCCAACGGTCTTTGCTTGCACTCTGCTCCCCAGCCACCACGAAGTGAGTAGCTTTGTTCCTTCTGCCAGGGTGTTCCTGCCCTGGGGCAGCCAACTGAACCCCCTGAAACCTGAGCCAAAGCAAAGCTCACCTGGCAGCCAATGCTGAGCATTCTGTCCCAGTGAGGGACACGCTGAAGAGAAGAACATGAAACATGTGCGGTCACAAAGCCCATGCTTGCCAATGTTAGCTTGGGATGGGCCAGGGCTGTGTGCGCGTCTTGAAGGTGGGGCTGCGGCATTTGGCCCAGCTTCCCAGGGGCAGGGTAACTCGGGGTCACCATGTCGGAGGTACCTGTGCTGGCTGTTGAGGAACTGTGATACCCTGTGTCTCCCATAAGAAACGAGGTTCAAAATACACTTACAAGCTGATAGAATGAGATTAAATTATTTCTTGTTTGTGTTTTTGTCTCTGTCAAGTTCTCAGGTTTTAAAACTGAGCAGCTCCTCAGGTTCTCCATCCAGCATGCCGTAAGAGGGGTGCAGGACAGAGCCAAGGCAGAAGGAGGACAAAGTGAGCTAGCCAAATGTCGCATCATCCTTCTGAGACACTCAGGCCAGGGCTGGAGTTGGCAGATCATGCAAGGATAAAGGGGCAAGGTTTGGAATGCACCCCAGATTTGCAAGTCTTATGCCAAACCACCCCAGATCACTGGCTGTTTTTACCAGTCCCCAAGAAAGGGCATTACTACCTGCCCTGGCGAGGAGCCCCAGGTCGACAGTTGTGTCTGAAAGTTCCTGTGGCCCAGAGGCTGTTATTTAAACTCATCACCTCCTCAACTGCAGTGAATAATCAAGAGTTGACCTTGGTCTTCTTAGAGGCCATCCCCCACGCTGAACAATAACATAAAAGTCCTTCCTGTAGTTGTTAGACGAAAGGGATACATAAACTTAGCCCCCCCAAAATGATAAAGGAGACAGTGAGTCTCAACTTTCATTCCCAAGAGTTATCTTCCATGAAAATATAATTGATTTATCACAGGAGTCTGGAGTGAAACTTGGGATCATAATTATGATTGGAACTGTTGAATTTTGCAAGTAGAAGGCAAAGGACAGTGACAATGGAAAGCATACACAATTTAACAGGCGTTCACTGTCAGGTACCTAGGTCTCCTTATTTCCTCTCAGCTCCAACAGGAAGGAACTAGCATGGTTTTCTGAAGTCAGGTAAAGAAACCAAAGACAGGAGGTTCTAAGATGCCTTGGTCACCCTGGCCCACTGTGGAGATGACAAATCTAATGGAATCCCAGCATGACTGAAGCGCCTTGCACCCAGGGTTGGCTTCCCACCCTCCCTCCCCCAGGACATCTGCAAAAGTGTGGAGATAGTTTGAGTTGTTGCAAAGGGAAGAGGGTAGAGGTGGCAGTGGCATCTGGAGACCAAAAGCAGGAATACTGTTAAACACCTTACACTGCCCTGGACAGGCCCTCAGCAATGACTACATGGGGCAAAATGTCACTCGGACTTGCTGGAGGAAGCCTGCCTTAAAATCCTCTCCATCCAAAGTCTGACAGCTTGAGAAAGGTAAACCCAAGGATATTTATTATTCTCAATTTAATAATTCACTTGATTACTGTCTTGAGCTTCCTGGAGAGAGTTTACTTTCCTACAACATAATACACCTGGTTCGTTTTGCCTGGCATTTCGCAGAGCTAGTGAATTTTTTTTTGAAAGTAAGCATTCAAGAGAGGCCCCGTCCTTTGTCTGGAGGAGGAGGGGTCCCGGGTTCCTGGGGCACCTCAGCCGGTACCCAGCCGCGCCTGGCCGTCGGTGTGCGGAGGAGGAGCTGCGCAGATCCGGAGCCGCCTGCAGAGGCCCCGTCCTTTGTCTGGAGGAGGAGGGGTCCCGGGTTCCTGGGGCACCTCGGCCCGTACCCAGCCGCGCCTGGCCGTCGGTGTGCGGAGGAGGAGCTGCGCGGATCCGGAGCCGCCTGCAGAGGCCCCATCCTTTGTCTGGAGGAGGAGGGGTCCCGGGTTCCTGAGGCACCTCGGCCTGAGCCCAGCCACTCATAGCCATCTGCGTGCAGAGGAGGAGCTGCGCGGATCCGGAGCCGCCTGCAGAGGCCCCGTCCTTTGTCTGGAGGAGGAGGGGTCCCGGGTTCCTGGGGCACCTCAGCCGGTACCCAGCCGCGCCTGGCCGTCGGTGTGCGGAGGAGGAGCTGCGCGGATCCGGAGCCGCCTGCAGAGGCCCCGTCCTTTGTCTGGAGGAGGAGGGGTCCCGGGTTCCTGGGGCACCTCGGCCCGTACCCAGCCGCGCCTGGCCGTCGGTGTGCGGAGGAGGAGCTGCGCGGATCCGGAGCCACCTGCAGAGGCCCCGTCCTTTGTCTGGAGGAGGAGGGGTCCCGGGTTCCTGGGGCACCTCGGCCCGTACCCAGCCGCGCCTGGCCATCGGTGTGCGGAGGAGGAGCTGCGCGGATCCGGAGCCGCCTGCAGAGGCCCCTTCCTTTGTCTGGAGGAGGAGGGGTCCCGGGTTCCTGAGGAACCTCGGCCTGTGCCCAGCCGCGCCTGGCCATCGGTGTGAGGAGGAGGAGCTGCGCGGATCCGGAGCCGCCTGCAGAGGCCCCTTCCTTTGTCTGGAGGAGGAGGGGTCCCGGGTTCCTGAGGCACCTCGGCCTGAGCCCAGCCACTCATAGCCATCTGCGTGCAGAGGAGGAGCGGGGTAGATCCGGAGTGCCCGCAGGAGGCCCTTCCTTTGTCTGGAGGTTTGTAGATATCTCTGCAAGCAGGGAGGGATCACAGGCTCCTGAGGCACTGCGGTCTGTGGTGAGTACCCTAACCCGGCTGCGATCCAAGAGCTGTGGATCTACCAAGGGGCAGGTGGGCGCACAGTGTCCCTGAGGCCCAGCTTGTCTGGAACCGCGGAGTTCTGAACAAGCAGAGAAGGGCCATTGGTTCTGCAGGCCCAATGGCCTGGGGTAGAGTGGTGCCAGAGTCTCAGTAGCTGCAAACATAGAAGGGGATGTTCAACAGATCCTGAGGAGGCTTTCAAATAACACTTGAAACACAGAAATATAGGAAAATGACAAAACGAAAGACCAAATTACAACCTCAAACCTCCAGCCCATCTCAGGAAACCCTAGGAGAAGTGTATTTAGAAGAAAATATATCCCATCCTCCTCATATATTAGACACAATAGCTACTGAAGTTGACAAGCAACTCCAGGAAGCTTTAAAGAAATTCAAACTCGAAATAATTTCCCAGATAAAAGAAGAAATGATAAAAGAAATGAAAGAGATTCTAAATATATCTAAAGAAAACACAGATAAAAAATTGGAGGAATTAAACAAAAAGATAGAATCCCTAGACGAGCAATATAAGAAACAAACAGAATACATAATGCAGATGCACAGAGATATACAGGAAATAAAAAACTCCACTGAAAGTTGTAAAAACCGCCTTAATGAAAGTGAAGATAGAATTTCAGACCTTGAAGACAGGATTGCAGCAAGTGAACAGGAAAGGAAAGATCTTTTAAAAATAACAAGGAATCAGGAAACAACAATTCAACAACTGCAAGATGATGCAAAGAAGAATAACATAAGAATGATAGGGATTAATGAAAAAGAAGGAGACAACATAAAGGATATCAAGAGGATATTTAGAGAAGCAATAGCTGAAAACTTCCCAAGCATGAGATCAGAAACTGACATCAGGATCAGTGAAGCATATAGAACTCCAAACAGTCATAACCAAAATAAAACTACACCCAGACATATAATAATCACCATCCCAGAAATCCAACACAAGAATAGATTATTAAAAGCTGTCAGAGAGAAAAGACAGATCACTTATAAAGGAAAACCTATCAGAATCACAGCAGACTTCTCATCACAAACAATAAAGTCAAGAAGAGCATGGAGTGAAGTATTCCAGATCCTAAAGCAAAATGATTTCCAACCTAGACTGATATATCCTGCAAAACTATCATTTAAAATAGATGGTGAAATACGATACTTCCATGACAAAGAACAGCTGAAGAACTTCATGAACACCAAACCAACCCTGCAAAAAATATTGAAAGACAGTTTAGATACACAAAGGAAAAAACCACTAAGCAAAGCAAATAATTAAACAGAACCGAAAGATAAAGATGCAACAGCAGAGAGATAAGAATCCTACAATTAAACAACATTTAACAGTAATAACCATTAATGTAAATGGTCTCAATGCACCAATCAAAAGAAACAGACTAGCAGAATGGATCAAGAAACAAAATCCAACCATATGCTGTTTACAGGAAACCCATCTAACCCAGAAGGATACTCACAGACTGAAAGTCAAAGGATGGAAAACAATTCTTCATGCAGCAGGAATCCAAAAAAAGGCAGGAGTAGCCATTCTGTTTGCAGACAACGTGAACTTTAAACCAACAATGACCATAAAGGACAAAGAAGGTCACTACATACTCGTAAGGGGAAAACTCCAAGAGGAAGAGATAACTATCTTAAATATATACGCACCAAACTCCAGAGCGCCCAGTTATATAAAACAATTATTAACAGAAATGAAAACTCAAATTATCAGTAACACAATTGTAACGGGAGACCTTAATACGCCATTGACACCAAGGGACAGATCGACCAGACAGAAAATGAGTAAAGAAATAACAGAACTGAATCATACCTGTGAACAAATGGGTTTGATAGACATATACAGAATGTTCCACCCAACAACATCAGAATACACATTCTTCTCAGCAGTACATGGATCATTTTCTAAAATAGACCATATATTAGCTCATAGAACATATTTAAACAAGTGCAAAAGAGCTGAAATCATCCCTTGCATGTTATCGGATCACAGCGCTCTGAAATTAGAAATTAATGATAAAAGATACTGCAAAAATCCCACAAACACATGGAAACTGAATAACACACTCTTGAGTAATCAGTGGGTCACAGAAGAAATTAAAGAAGAAATCAAACAATACCTAAAAGAAAATGAAAATGCAGATACAACTTACCGGAATCTGTGGGATACAATGAAAGCCGTTCTGAGAGGAAAATTTATTGCCCTGAGTTCCCACATCAGGAAAACAGAACGAATACAAATAAATAACTTGATGCTACACCTCAAACAGCTAGAAAAGGAAGAGCAAGTCAAGCCCAAAGCCAAAAGAAGAGAGGAAATTATAAAAATCAGAGCAGAAATCAATGCAATAGAGACTAAGAAAACAATCCAAAGGATCAACAAATCAAAGAGTTGGTTCTTTGAAAGAATAAATAAAATCGATAAGCCCCTAGCCAACCTTATTAAAAAAAGGGAAGAAAAAGCTCAAATTCATGCAATAAGAAATGAAAAAGGAGAAGTCACTACAGACCCAATAGAAATACAGAAGATCATCAACACCTATTTTGAAAACCTCTACTCTCAAAAGTTTGATAACACAGAAGAAATAGACAGTTTCTTAGAAGCATATGAAGTGCCAAAGCTAGATCAAGAGGATGTAAAACTGTTGAATAACCCAATCTCGGTTACTGAAATTGAAAATGTAATTAAGTCCTTACCCACCAAGAAGAGCCCAGGCCCAGATGGATTCACTGCAGAATTCTACAAGAAATACAAAGAAGACCTAATGCCGACACTCCTCAAACTATTCAATGAAATTGAAAGGGAAGCAATCCTGCCTAAGTCATTCCTGGAAGCAAATATCACTCTAGTACCAAAACCTGAGAAAGACCCAACTAAAAAAGAGAACTATAGACCGATCTCCCTAATGAACACAGATGCAAAAATCCTCAATAAAATATTGGCAAATAGGATCCAGCAAATCATCAAGAAGATTATACACCATGACCAAGTGGGATTCATCCCAGGAATGCAAGGATGGTTCAATATACGCAAATCAATAAATGTAATTCACCATATCAATAAAGCCAAAAATAAGAATCACATGATCATTTCTATAGATGCAGAAAAAGCCTTCGATAAGGTCCAACATTTATTCATGATAAAAACTCTACAGAAAATTGGAATAGATGGTCTTTACCTCAATATAATAAAGGCCATTTATGACAAACCAACAGCCAGCATCATACTAAATGGCCAAAAATTGAAAGCCTTTACTTTAAAATCAGGCACAAGACAAGGATGTCCTTTATCACCACTCCTATTTAATATAGTACTGGAAGTACTAGCCAGAGCAATTAGGCAAGAAAGAGAAATAAAAGGGGTAAAGATAGGAAAAGAAGAAGTTAAGTTGTCATTGTTTGCAGATGACATGATACTCTACATAGAAGACCCCCTAAGCTCCATTGAAAGACTCTTAGATACAATAAATAAATTCAGGAATGTGGCTGGATACAAAATCAATACTCAGAAATCAATAGCATTCCTATACACAAACAACAAAACCACAGAGAGGGAAATAAGGGAAACTGGACTATTCACATTAGCAAGCAAAAAAATGAAATATTTAGGAATTACTCTTACGAAAGAAGTGAAAGACTTATACAGTGAAAACTATATTACACTGAAAAAGGAAATTGAAGATGATCTCAGAAAATGGAAAGACATCCCTTGCTCATGGATAGGAAGAACAAACATTGTGAAGATGGCCATTCTCCCAAAACTCTTATACAGATTCAATGCAATCCCAATAGAAATACCATCAACATACCTTATAGATCTAGAGAAATCACTCCTAAATTTCATCTGGAACCAGAAGAGACCTAGAATCGCAAAAGCAATTCTAAGCAGCAAAGACAAAGCAGGAGGCATCACAATCCCTGACTTGAAATTATACTACAAAGCAACAGTAGTAAAATCAACATGGTATTGGAATCAAAACAGAGCTGAAGATCAATGGAATAGATTAGAAGATACAACCACAACTACAAACACACTCAACCACCTTATCTTCGATAAAGGAGCCAAGCAGGTTCACTGGAAGAACGACAGTCTCTTTAATAAATGGTGCTGGAAAAACTGGCTCTCCATTTGCCAAAAACTAAAGCTAGACCCATGTCTATCACCATGTACTAAATTAAAATCTAAATGGGTCAAAGATCTGAATATTAAAACAGAAACGCTAAATCTATTGGAAGACAAATTGGGTAGAAACCTTGGAGACATAGGAGTAGGTAGAGAATTCATGAATAGGACTCAAACTGCACGGGAAATACTTCCCAGAATCAATAACTGGGACCACTTCTTATTAAAAAGTTTTTGCATGTCAAAAGAAATCTCCAGCATAGTGAAAAGAAAACCCACAAACTGGGAAAAGATTTTAGTGAACTCTCTCTCAGACAAGGGACTCTTGTCTAAAACATATAAAGAATTAAAAAAACTCAGACCTTCAAAATTCAAAGATCCAATCCAAAAATGGGCATCTGAGATGAATACGCACTTCTCAGATGAAGAAATGCAAATGGCAAATAAATACATGAAAAAATGCTCATCATCATTGGTCATTAGAGAAATGCAAATTAAAACCACACTGAGATACCATCTCACTCCTGAAAGAATGGCCAGGATCAAGAAAACCAACAACAACAAATGCTGGAGAGGCTGTGGGGAAAAAGGAACTCTCCTGCACTGTTGGTGGGAGTGTAGACTGGTACAGCCTTTGTGGAGATCTGTCTGGAGGTTTCTCAAAAAGTTGGGATTGGAAATCCCATTTATTCCAGCTATTCCACTTCTAGGCATATTCCCAGAAGAACTGAAAGCATCATACCACAGGGATATATGTGCACCTATGTTTATAGCAGCACAATTTGTAATCGCCAGATCTTGGAAACAACCCAAGTGTCCATCAACTGAGGAATGGATAAAAAAGTTGTGGTATTTCTATACAATGGAGTATTATTCAGCTATAAAGAAGGATCGCATTGAGATATTTATCAATAAATGGGCGCAGCTTGAGACCATACTCATAAGTGAAATAAATCAATCTCGCATGTATGAATACCGAATAGTTTCCCTAATGTAAGTAATGATTCAAATATATAAAAATATGTGATAATCATGATTCCCCATTATGTGGCCTTGAAGCCTTATAAAATTTTCACTTATTAATTAGAAAGGCTTTACTCTGGGCTTTTTGATATGGAAATATTTGAAGCTATAGTATATGGAGTTTTATCCAAATATTTTAAGGAAAAAGACAGACACTATGGTAACTACTATTCTTTAAAAAAAAATTATTTAGCTATTTCTTATGTTTATTTTAATTAAGGGAAAAACTTAAAAAATTAGGATATATAGTAGTAACTCTTTTTGATCTCCTATTAACTTGTTTTGAAGTCCTGTAATACTCCCAAGATCTTGTTTTGACTGATTAGACTCTGTTCCATTCTGTGCGATAGTATCAAGTTTGAGGGTATAGGCAACTAATTTGAAGGCAATAAGATTCACAAAGATGCCCATTCTGGTTTGACTATTGTCTGCTTTGGAAGTCCTGTAATGTTCACAATGCCTAAGTTTTATTGGTCTTGTTCTCCACTGTTTTGTCCGGCTTTATAATATCTAATGAGATGGACAATTCCTTTTAAGGAAACAAGAGACAATGTTGATAACCATTGTTGATGACCTTGTACTCTGTTCTACATCATGTGCTATGTCTATCCTTGGTTTGGACTTACAGCTTTGTTTTGCCATATTTGACTTTATTCTCTCCCCCCCAAGACAGTAATGAGAACTGAGGAGTAATAAAATCCAAAATGTATAAATTTTGTTATAAAAAAGAGAGGGAGGGGAAAAAAAAAGAGCTCTAACGGATATAACAAGTGTGTTTAGGGATGTTAAATAGCTGACTATATTAATGTTTTTGGATCATTGAACACAGCTGTTTGCAGTCTCTCCGTTTGAATGTCTACTTTGTATTCTTTGATACTGTGATTTGAGCAACTATTTCCAAGATGATATTATGTAATCTATTAACAGGTGATTTCTTACTGTTATGTTTTTTTTTTGTAGTTATGTATTATGTGTAACCTTACACTGCTTTGTTTTGTTTTGTGTTTTTCTCTTTTTCCTCTTAAATAAAAAAAAAAAAAAAAAACTCAAAAAAAAAAAAAAAAAAGAAAGTAAGCATTCAAGGAATAGGCATGACTCATTTCCTGCCACAGCCGGACTGGAACCTTGCTTTGAATGTGCTCAGCTATCGATGCTGGTTCCTAAGCAGCAAGCTAGTGACTATGTCAGAAGGATTGCTACCTAGAAAACTGACACAGTGGCTACTGCCAGGGGGTTAGCACCAGATGGCCCGGGTTTCAATCCCAATGCTACCACCGATTAGCTGCAAAGCCTTTGGGAAGTTACTCAAACTTCCCAAGGGATTTCAGCTTCCTAATATACAAAATGGGGACAGTAATCCATTTCCATAGGGTGAGTGGGGTGAGATGAACACAATTACTAGTGCAAAGCCTAATTTGAGTATTTGTTGCTATCATTCTTATTACTATTCCCTTGATGAAATAGGAGAAAAAAGAGTGATTTTTGGATTTGAGGAAGATTTCACTAGTAAACAGAGATTTTTAAAAGAAGACACGTGTTGTTCCTAAATTCACCTTGGGCATTCTAGTTTCTAAGGAGAGCAAACACAAGCAGGCACTCTGCTATTGTTTTGAGGGCTAAATGTGCCAAAGGAAGTATGAGTTAAACTCCTGAGCATCGCTGCACCCCACAAGCTCTACTGAGCTATCACCATTTATTGTCCCAATGCCACCCAGCCAGTACTGTTCCATTTTCCTCTTACTGATGAGGAAACCAAAGCTTTTCAAGACCAGGGACCACGTGCAAGGGTACTCAGCAAATGTGAGTGGCCCAGAGCTGGCTCCCAGCCACACCTGACTGCCTGGAGTGTCCAACCATCTCTAAGAGCTACAGCCTGGTCCATCTTTCACCTAGGGAACAACAGCACAGTGTGAGTTGAGGATTCACTGTGGCAAACTGGCTTTACTCTAATGGGGCTCAATGACACACAGTCTCCTTGATTTCCTTTTTGTTGGTTTCTGACTGCTGCATTTACACCTAGGCTGTCCACTCAGTGGTATAGTGTGAAGCTGGACACAGTGTGCTTCTCCAAGGACAACTGCTGGGGTGCCTTCTGCAGGGCATCTGGTCTGCTCGGGCTCTGGAGAACAGAGGAACGAGTGTGCAAGCCACACACCTCTTAGGGCTTCAAAACAGCCCTGTCATGCAAAGGGTGGCTCCACACAGAGTAAGGAGCTACGGGCATGGAGTGACAAATCCTGGGCCAAGCAACGTGACTCTCTTCCCCAAGATTGGGCACATGCCCTGGAGGGGAGTCAGCTTTCATACACCCTGCTATCACACCTTTGCAGCTCTCCTGCACAGCTTCCATGGACAGAAGCCTGATGTCCAAAGCCACAGGCTGCAGGGCCCTGCAGGCCTGGTAAAGAGTCCCAGATTGGATGCTCTTAAGAAGCAGATCTGGCCACAAACAGTGGACAAGGTGGAGCTGATATGCCCTTGGCTCACCACAGGCCACACAGCATTGGGGAAGCTCTGGGACCTGCGAAGCCACAGGTCCTGGGCACAATCTCCACAGCACACAGCTGATGCCAGCCCGATGCACGGCTTCTAGGCGGCCTATAGAGCATCAGAACCAGACACACAGGGACATCGTGGCAGGGAATCTTCTCCCTCCTCATCACCACACAGGACTGGGGCTCAAAAGGCACAAACTGATTTATTTCTGCTCCTTCTATCTTTATATTACGTTTCTACTCTTTTTTTCCTTTCAAATACCTTCTCTAATTATATGCTCGATGCATGAAACTAGAAATAAAAATCCTTAATCTAAAAGAACAAGTCTATATGACATGAAAATCATCTACAATTCCACCACCCAGGTCACTTCTCTTTTAAGACTTTATTGCCCATAGTTCTACAATATATTTACTGATATAGTATGTGTAATATACATATGTATATATAAATGCATTTAGTATTTTTTCCAAGAAGATATTAAAGCCAAAAATTGTCTCAAAAAGTTATGTTCTGTGAGAGATGAGGTTTCTCAATAAGCAACATATCACAAACTTGCATCCTTTCCAATATACTGCATATACACATACATAGTTCAACATACAGTTCCTTCAGGTCCTTAAAATCCTAGGACATGACACATCAGGAAATTAAGCCTAAGAAGTAAAAGCAGCTGGCGAAGGAAATAAGTTAATTTGGTGGTGTTCCTATGTCAAACCCTAGTTTTCATTTCCCAAGCTCCAGGTAGAAGGTACTTTCAATTCTTAGGCCCCAGGATTTCTGTAGCCAACTATTCAGCCCTTTCTCTGCAGCAAGAAAGAAGCAAAGACAAAATAGGAACAGAGATATGATTGTGTTTGAATGAACATTTAAGGACACTGTAGCCTGAATTTCACATAATTTTTACAAGTCACAAAACATTACACTTTAAATTTAAATCTATTTTTAGCTTCCAGATTCAACAATAGCAGGCAGTGAATGAGGTTCGGTCCTCAGAGGAGTAGCTTTGATTGCTGATCAAAATCACTGATATATCTGCTTTTTTCTAAATGCAACTTTCTTTATAGACTTTAAGTTGCTTTATCCTTGAACTACTGGGCAAATTGGCCAAAGCCAACGGCATTTCTATGTCTCAATGTGCTGATAGTCAAAGAGTAAGAAGAACCTTAAAAATCAGCCAGCAATTGGGGCCAGCACCTGAAAAAAGTAAGATGAAGAGAACGTCAGATAATTATAAAAGCTTACATCAGTTGAACACTTATTGTGTGCAAGGCACCAAGTTAAAGATTTTGTATTTAACCCATGTAGGAACTGCATAAGTATTATTAAGTATACAAGAACGGGGCAGGTCACACCATCACAACACGCTCTCTGCTTTCAATCACAAAGCCCAAGGCTCAGGAGCTACACATCCCCATGGCTTTTCAGCCCCTGGCCTTCGCTGCAGAATGCAGGCTGATGGGGCAGCTCTGTCAGGAACGTGGCCAGGGTCATGTCGAGGACAGGGAAAGATAAACCATGCCAAGAAGTGAGGTATACCCATCCTCAGCTCAGCAGGCAAAGCCCATGAAAACAATATACCTGAGATCCACAGGCAAAGGCCCCACACACAGGCTCTTCTAAAGGGGGGGGGGGAATAAATACTGGTGAAAATAATGGGGTACATGACGATAAGTTATTTTATTTTTACACCAATCCCATCTTTTAGATATAGAGAAACTGAGGCCCAGATAGCTAAAAACAAAACAAAACTTGCTTATTTCACACACTAGGTATAGAGCTTAGCTGTGACCCTAGATAGTCTAATTTCAGAATTTATGGCCAAATCCCTAGAGTCCCTGGCTTTCTGTAAACATGAGATGGACACATTAGCCTAAAAATCATCTGTCTGCAGGAGGTATTTATCACTGCCCCTGCACTGACCAAGATCCCAGAATACCACTGTCATAAAAGTTGTCCACGCTATGCCTAGGAAACACTGGGGAAAGCGCTGGACAGAAGGGTTTCTTTCTAAAAATAAAAATATTTAACCAATGCAAACAATTAAGACTTGGAAAATCAATGAAATGAAAATCAACTAATGTTGGGTTTTAAAACAAGCTATATGGGCCGGGGATTTAGCTCAGCAACATAAGTGCCTCCCTTGCAAGCATGTGGTCATGAGTTTGATCCCCGGTACCAAAAAAAGACACACAAAAAACAAGCTATACTTTGGGCACAACAAGAAGAAGGATGAAGGCACTCACAGCTCACTGAATTGGCATCATGCTGAGCTCTGTGTGAAGAAATATTGGCTAGAGTAGGAAGAACAGAGGGAAGGTCCTTGTGGAATTGCCACACACCTGTTCCTGGGTGATTCCTTCCCCGTTGCCACCGCCAAACAACTCTTGGTTATCATGATTACAACCAAACCCAGCAACAAAAGCCTTGTCTTTTGGAGACTGTCTCCATATCCATGGGTTAGGTGGCCCATCCAGTTCCTGCAGCTACTCCTTTACTGAGCATTCTCAGAGGTAAAGTCATTGGCTAAGCCCTTATCAAAGACATCCTGAAAATTCCGTCAGGCAGGCTGTCTTAGTTACTTTTCACTCATCACTGAGACAAAATACCTGATGCCCAAAGTTAAGAAAAGAAAAGTTCATTTCTTACAGTTCTTAGAGGTTTCAGTCCATATTCATTTGGCTCCAAGGCAGCCTGGCATGGCAGGGCAGCCCTTCAGGGCCACTGAAAACAGCAAAAATGAAAGCAAAAGAGCCAGACTCACCTTCTTCCTGTCTTTACATCATATGCTGGCTCCACCCCTAGGCAGATATAGCACTCACACCACCAATCTGAGAACTAGACAATGAACCAATCACAAATGCTAGACTTGGTTGAATCTATAATTGCATGAGCCTTGGGGGCCACTGACATAAACCATGACACAAGCATTACCATTCCATTTTACAGATGAGGAAACCAAGCTTCCTGAAGTTCATTAATTTCCTCAAGGTCACACAGCTAATAAGCTGCAGGGCCAGAACTCAAATCTGCATTTCTCTAACTCCAAATCCTGCCTCTCTCCTTTTTCATTAGTACATGTGTGTAGAACATAATGCTTACATTCCCGTGGGGAAGGTGGTACATGCCCACATCATTCCTCTTTCCTCCCCTTTCCATCCCTTTTCCTCTCCATCCATTTCATGATCCCTTTCTTTTATTCTTGTACATGTTTGCAGTCTTTTATGGTGCATTAGTAATCAAGCCATATACAGTGTTCCCAGATGCTCACAGAAGGGGTCAAAAGCAACTTTTGATTGTGTAAGTCAGCGATTCAGCTAGAATCTTTAGTCAAAAGGAAATGACAGTGCATGTGTGCATGTGTGCATATGTGTAAGTGCATGCATGTATGTGTGTGTGTGTGTGTGTGTACACAATCCTAGATCATCAGTTATCCAGGAACCAAAGGTATAGTGGCTTTGAAAGGGAGTGTTTCTGCTTGCTATGGTCTGCAAGATGGGGCAAGGTAGAGACTGCCTGGTCTCCAGGAACCAACTCACCTTTCCAGAGCACGTCACTCTGTATAGTGTCACCTCAACCCACAGATCAGAGATGGCTTGTCTTGTCACCACAGCTGCATCCTACAAGCTGGGGAGAAAGGGAGGAGAAGGGAAGGGCTCTCGTGGCCCAGCACCCTGGATGCTAACAGGAAGGCCAACAATGCACTCTACCCTGTGTGCCCCCAAACTCAAAATCAAAAGATGCAGATAAGGAACACAGGAGAGAGCAGGGCATACCCCTGGGCAACGCCAAGTGGGGTCATCAGGTCTCCCACAAAAGGCAGGGAAAGAAGCAGCTCTGTCTACTTCTACTGTCGGTGCAGGGGAAGAAAGGTCTGGGGTGATGGTAACAGAGGGTAAGGAGTGCAAGGCAGGAGAGAAAGGAGATTCCCCACTGAGCCTCCCTTGCAAGTAACAGCACTCAGCACCCACCTTTCCTGCGTGGGCTATGGGAGCCCGTGCTGAGAGCTGGGAGGGCAGCGGGCTCACATCAGGAGGGATCATCTTTGTCTCTGGAGGCACCTGAGCCCAAGCTCTGCACAGATCCACACCACACACTCAGGCAGGCATGAATTCCGGGTACCATCACAGTCACTGTTACCAGGCAATGGCTCAGAGTAATTCCTTTCTTTCAAACTTAGGCAGCTACTTCCAGGAGAAAATGCCACCTATCTTAGGGCACTGGCCTCTTGGATATCATGAGCTGCTCAAGAAATATAAAAGTGATCAAGTCATCAATGAGAGGAAGTTTCAAGAGCATTTCTTGGCGATTACCACGCAGATAAAACTTGTTGTTATACTAAATGCAAGTGATTTTAATGTGCCAAATACCATGTTTAAGTGACACAGATGATAATATAAAAATACATATGGTATACACACACAAGATTTTATTCTCAGACAATGTCATTTTACAGAAAAAGAAATTGAGGCCCAAAGAAGTTGTGCAAATAGCCCCAAACATGTCTAGCTAGCACTTACAAGGACCAGGGTTTGAACCCAAGCTTCTCAGACTCCAAAACTATTAAACAGTGCTAGCATCTAAGCACACTGCTGCCACTACAACACTGCCATCATCCTTGACCAGGGGCCTTGGAACACAGCAGGGTCACCCTGGGTGTGTCAGCTACATTTCCATCAAGTTTATAAAAAAAAAAATCACAATGTAAATGAGCGCATCATTTGAGGGACTTTTTGGTTAAGCCTTTTGTACATATGAGAACCCTTTTGCACAGTGTGTACCTGAGGATGTTTGACACATTTTAATTTCAGACACAGTACTCAGTTACTTTCAAAGCGGGGAGCATCTGTAGTGCTTTCAATTCTGTGTTCTTGACAGTTGCATTATAAGCAGTCAGGAACTGACTGGCCCATTTCCGCATTATCCAAAAGACTTATGGTTCTCGGGAGGCAAGTTAAACAGGGTAGACAGCAAGCTGCCCAGCAGGTGCCGTGTGGCAGGGGCAGCAGGCAGTGAGCCCAACCTGCTGTGCTGTACTGGGGACCAACACGAAACCCCCAACTTGTTCACATTAGCAGTGACTCCATTCTGCAGAAAAATCTCCATGGCGCCAGCATACACAGCGGCACGGATATCATTACCTCAAGCTACTATTCTGTCATTATCGATCTGAGTTAACAGAAGCTTGGGGTGTTTTGTGAGTTCCCTTGATTGTGGCAGTAAAGTAGATTAGCAAGGACATGGAAAAAACAAGAAAGGACCTGGATGGTAATGAATGCTTCTTAGGGCCAGCTGAATCAAGACCATACACTCGGCTCTGCGACCTTCCACAACTTCCACATCTCTCTGGAACTCCTTAAGATAAGGACAGCGTTACAGCTACAGCTCGTGTGCATGGATTAATCAAGTCCAGGAATAGTACTTGATACCTAACAGTCAGTCTAATAAATACTTGTATTTTGACCTCGAATATGTGTGAGGCTCAAACCCTCTTACACTTGAAGAGGACTCCTGCAAGGTGACTGCTCTTGTTCAGGGAACCAGTCCCAGGCTGTGGACATCTCACCTCATACTTCTGTGGCAGAAGCATGCTAGCCAAGGGACACCAGCATGATAAGGCTGGGCTACTGTGTCAGTTTGTTTGCATAGTGGGGACCAAATAGCAGAGAAAACACAATTTAAAGAAGGGAAGATTCTTTGGCTCCTAGTTCAGTTGAAACTGCTGCACTGTTTTTAGGGCTGTGGAGAGGCTGAAACATTGTGCAGGAGGGTGTGGTGGATGAAAATGGCTTACTTTGTGGCAATCAGGAGTCAGAGAAAAGGACACTGGGCAAAATACAGTCCCCAAGGTCATGCCGGACCAATAGGCTCCCACCTTTCATTTTCATCACAATGCCAACAAATTGTGATCTCATTACTGCATCGATCCATGGATAATGATCTGATCGTTTTTTTAAAGCCCATCAATAACCGAGTCTTCAAAACAACGAGCTCTTTTGGAGAAATGCTGTATCCCACCCATAATAGCTCCTGGCCTTGGAAAGTTCAGGAGATCTGTAGATGGCTCATACTTCCCTAACTCCTAACATTACGAGTGAGGAAAGTGAGCCCCAAACAACTGAGTGTTATCTACAATTAGAGCAAAGCCCACAGCCCAGGTGACCAGTCATGTGTGACCCAGAGATTTACCTTCTATCCTACCAGGCCCCACCCAGACGGCATCCACAGCACTAAAATCATGAATTCACTTAGCCTGGTATCAGAATGACACTTGCCCAGCAGGTCTGACACAACCACCTGAGGTCCAGCTAACATACAGCTCTCACTGGAAAAACTCTTCTCTAGCAAGTTCTTGCAAGTTATGTTTGAGAAAACTTTTGCACTGCTTCCTTTTCCCCAGCCTGTCTTGGCATGCTTCCAGTGCTATCAGTGATGGCCAGAGTGTGTGCTCTGCAGTCTTTCTCTCGTGCTGTGACTAACCCCTTATTGTCGCCTCTGTAGTGATTGACACATTTAGGCCAACACAACATAACACTCTATGTCGGATTTCTTCAAAGCTGGACAGCTGCAGGCAAGAATGACCAATTTCACTTGGCTTTTTTGTGCCATCTTCAGGGTCTGCTTGTGCCTCTGGCACATACTTCCTGTGTGTTACAACAGGCCAGAGCCTACAGTGGATCGGGTCTGATACTTTCTCATCTTCTTTGTGGCCATCACATTCTCACCTCTGCTGCAGGGTGCCCTTAACTAAGAACACCTGGCAAGATGGGCAGGGAGCAAGAGAGGAAGGAGCTTCTACGACTTGGAGCTCTTCCTTGGAAAAGCACTTTTTTCCTTTTCTCTTCCCTTCTGACCTCTTCCTTCCATCCTTCCTTCATTCCTTCTTCCCTTCCATCCTTCCTTCCCTCCATCATTTTAAAAGTAAATGCACCTCCAATAGTAAAGTCATGGAAACAGCCAATTTTAGCACATTGGTGTGCACGCACATGCACTTGAGTTTGTGTAAGTGTGTGAGCCATGTTGGAGACCATGCAATCCTGGAAATAAAAGGGCTGACTAAACCAATCACACCAGGCCGGTGCAGCCTAGGATTTATGGAGACAAAGGTCTGCATCAGTACGCTGGCAACACCACTATGAGTATCCTGTCTTCTGAAATCGTGTCACTTCCCCACCCACATTTCCTGGCACTCAGTGCCCACTCCTCTTCACAATTGCTGGCTGACTGATCCAGGTATGGTGATGTTTACGATGCCTCCTAATGTCAGAGGCCCTCATTCTTACTGCCTGCTGATTTTAATGCTTTTTCGCTGACCACTTTCCTAAGGGCATTCTCCTTCATGTTTGCATGGCTAACAGCCACTGGATAGAGACTTCTTTGGCATTTTCATGGCAAAGCTAGCACCATTCCTGAAAGCCACGTTCCAGGCAGCATGGGTCAGTAGTGTTCATGAGACTATGAAGTAAGGGCAGAAACAGAGTGATGGAGAACTCACAGAGACAGACAGCACATTCGCTGTGGAGAAAGCACGGGGGATACATAAGTCCTCATCAACTGTGACAGCTCTCGCTACTGGAATCCATTTATGAACAAATAGAAACAAAAGTACTTCTAAGAAATACAGAGCTATAACAAACCAGAGCTGATATATAATTGGCATCTAATGAGTATTAATTGGTTGGGAAATTTCTGAACAGAGCAGAATTAAACAAGCCAAGCATACAGAGAAAATTAAAATAAAAGAGGGAGGGAGAGAAAATTCCACTACTCAGACGCAAGCATCACTAATGTTTTGCTATATTTCTTTCTGGTTTCTTTCCACATTATTTTTTAATATACAGAACTAAATGGAAGCATTCATTTTCAATAAAGCAAGAGCTTTCCTCATGTCATAAAGATCTCTGCGTCACTCTTAGGGGCTATGTTATTTCAGTACATTAATATTCCAATCACCTATTGCTAGAATGTTTCAGAATTTTATTGCTAGATAGCTATATTGTTCCCAATTTGCAGTAATGAAAAAATATTGTTATAAATGGCTGAGTGATACAGCCTTTTCTTTCTTTGTTTAGATTATTTCCTTAACAAGTGTTCCTCAAACCGATATTACTGCAGCCAGAGGCATACACATTGTATACCCTCTTGCTAATGTCTTAGCAGAAGTTCTGAACCAGAACTGTGCATTCGAAAGCACGGCATATGGAAGTGTATACTGCCCCACACCTCAGAGCCTGAGTGTTACGATCACTGGCAACTCAGAATAAACAGAGCCCTTCCTCTCTCCAAAACCTTTTGCCGGTTTAATAGGCCAAATGGCATCCCATCTTGGTTTTAATTTGAACAGCACATGTCACCTGTGGGCTGATCTGCAATAATCCCTACTTGCCACATGGGCTCTGTGTCTCGCGACTTTCTGTTCCTGCTCTCGGCCTCTCGGCCTCTCTGGAAGGCACTGGAAAAGCAAATGATCACCAGTTATAAAAAAAGAGCACAGCTCTGCCCTGCCCTTTAATTTTTTTTTTAACTTCATCTTCTCAGTGCTGATCTCACCCTGATGTATGTGCGCAAATGTCAGATTTGTTCCTCAGTGAGAGCTCAATTACTGCTCATCGTGTGTGTGTTAAACTTCTCCTCCCTCCAAACCCAGAGTCTGCAGATGCTGGCCAGAGTAGGATGCTGCACAAGCTCAGAGGATGTGAATCCTCATACAGGGGCTCTACTGAGCACGGCCTCAACCACAGATTTCTATAAGAAAAAAGAGCAGAAATCTGTTGATGCCTGACTAGAACCCACCACCTTTCTCATCACTTCCCAGGACACACAGAACCTGGTGCTGCCTGATGCTGCCCGCCAGGCCCCCACCAGAATGCTCAGAAAGCCTTGGTGAGGCAGGGGGAAGTGTTATCTGTGAGTGCTGCTGCCTTGGGCACCGAGATACTTCAGATCCAAATCGCAATAGACAGAAGCTCAGTTTGTGGCAGTTCAGTGGCCAGAAGAGATTGACTCAAGCAGGACTATCTGTAACAGAGGCAGGCACTTGTTCTGTAGAAGGATTTCTTAGGATGGCACAGAGGAAGAACTGGGGCTTTGCAAGGCTGCAGAAATGTGGGTATTCTAAAGGCAAATGAGTAAAGACTCCAGCACTGAACATACCAGATTAAACTAGAGACCTGGGACAGCATTTACAAAACCCTCCCTGCAGCACCCTCAGAAATAACAGCATTCCTGCAAATGATGAGCAAGAAGGCACCTAACTGGCTTTCTGCAGAGCCGTCAGTTCCTGAAGAAGTGCAAGGGCAACCGGACCCACACTAATTTCACTGGACACACTCTAGTGTAAAACCAATAGAAGCCTTTGTGTACCTCAGCACACATATTAACAGAAGACTGTTCTCTACTCACAAATCTAACCTCACAGAACACAGGGCTCCCCCTCCTTTGTAGTCACTGCATCACAGGGATACAGAGACACACCAAATCAGAGCCACCAGTTGCCAGGGCCTCTGCAGTCCCTCTGTGTCCTGTGCTGTGGAATTTGGCTCACCAAGCCTGGTGTGAGATGAAATCCTGTCCTGATTTCTGCATCTAAGTGTCATGGAGCTGACCAAACATCAGCTTCTGGCAAAATAACCCAATGCAATGCTCAGGTAAATCAAGCCTTGACATCAAACTAGCTTGGATTTAATGCTCAGCTCTGAGTTCACAGGTTGTATGACACTAGGCATAGTGTATGACACTATGACACTTCCCTTCTAAACAAATAAGCTAATGGGCAACAAATTCAAACAAGACTATTTGAACAGTGCTGGGGACAAGGTAAGTCTTTACTAAATTACTATTATGGTTCCCTCATCTTTAAAATGAACACTTATTTCAACCTCAATATACCTCTGAGGATTAAACTGTGAGAATTATAGCACCTATAAACTATACAACACTATCTGGTATACAGTAAATGTCTGGCAAATAGCAGCTATTATTTGTAATAAATGAAGAATTTCAGAACATAAAAAGAACTGTGGACAATGGCAGAACAACTCAGTTCTAGTTCTGGCTTTATCTCTCACTTGCTCGGTGACTTAACTTCATTCTAATTTTCATTTGGGGATATGGCATTTGTGAGCAAAGCCCTAGGCTGTCACACAAGTGATTCAACCATGGTATCAGGTGTGTGTGTGAAGCAAAGTCCAAAACAGATGTTAAATAAAATAAGAGGAAAAATCAAACACAACAGCTAGTTAAAAAAAAAAAAAAAAAAAACCAACAGCATATTACATTAGCTACAGCAAAAGCCATCTGCGCCCAGGGAGAGGAAGAGCTTTCTATCTTTTCAGGTCTTTCATTAATACTGGCCATGGAGAGCCATCACCAAGGTGGCTCCAGGACTTCTCAAAACCAACCCTCAGTGCTCATTAGCCCAAATCAGAACTCTGTCAAAGAGCCTGAAGATCTTCGCAGGGGGCAGGAGACTCAAATCTAGCTCGCTATGGTATCGCCCAATCATTCTCCAAAATGATTTCATGAGATACACAAAGAGTACGAAGTTTAATTTTTAAGCTTGCATAGTGACAGAAAGCAGATACTAACATATCTATTTCATAGATGAAAGAAGAAAAGGCACTAGGAAATTTTAAAAAATTGCCCCATCCTCATAAGCAAAAAGGAGTAATACAAGTTGAATATCTCTTCTTCAAAATGCTGGGGACCAGAAGTATGATTTCAGACTATTTGGGGGACACCAGAAGATCTGTCTATGTAACAGGATATCCTAGGGATGGGACCCAGGCTGGCCTTCATTTAGGTTTCACCTGCACTTGAGGCATAGAGCCTGAAGGTAATTTCATACATTTTTAGTAATCATGGGCATGAAATAAAGTTCATGGTATAGAATTGTCACCTGGTGGTATCCTATCAGTGCTTTACAAGTTTTGGATTTTGGTGTATACTGGGTTTTGGATTTTCAAGTTAGGGTCATTTACCCTGTAAAGCAATCTTTGGCTGTCTACGTATGTGGTGTATCTCTGAATGCGAATATTTGCTTAAGTTTAGAAGACACCAAACAAAAGTTCTCTGGTTAACAGTACATAATAAATACATAGATTTTTATGTACAAAATAAAAAACATTTACAACTCAGGCCACAGACTAGTTTCCAGCCGTGAGATCCCCAACTTTGGCTATGCAATAGAATATGGAAACCTTTTAAAAGTCTCCCTAGACCTTTGGGGCAGTCTCCACACCCGTTATCTCTCAATCCCTGAAGGTGAGACCCAATCACCAGGAACTTTTTCAGCTGCCCAGGTGACTCTGGAGTGCTGTCAAGTTAGGGACACATCGGGCATGAGAACATTGGTTGATGTGCCATCTATTATGCGAAGAGCAATCACCACAGCCACTGCAGCATGCAGGTGATTACCCAGGAGTTCAAAGTGGTGAGGAAGTACTTAGGGTACAGCACTGTCTCGAGTGAGGCAGGTGAGGTCCGGCTGACTCCAGAGGCTCTGCAAAGCAACGCTGGAGCCCTGCTCATTTATCTCTTCCTGTCAATCCCACAGTCAATGACATGCTTCTGGCAAAATGATTTTTATGAATTTAAAACTGTTTATTAAATTGCTCATGAATTATTATGGTAAATGGGTAAAAGAGATGAACACAATATAAGGAGAAACAGTAAGAGCAAATAGAAAATATATATTTGACATATGAGCACACATAACACCACAGCTGAGTTATAAAACATAAAATATAAAATTTTAGTTTATTATTAATTAATAATGAGGAATCATGAGGAAAACAGCACGATGCTTCCCCAGGAGCCACACATTTTAAGTACAAAGCAGAAGAGTACTTCTATACCGGAGGCCCCTCTGTAAAGCAAATTTGAAACCAGTGATTGAAATGGGCGTCACCAATGGCAAAGTCTGTCCACACTACATGGCTCCGCGTATGCTGACCCAAAAAGGCTGGAGGGCTGCTCCTGTGGCCTTCCCCTCAGAAAGGAAGGGTGCAGCTCAACTCTGCAAACCCAGTCACAAAACCAGGTCCCACAATCACTGAGCAGCCTCTTCAGACGTGTCAAAGTCATCACAGACAAAGACGCGGAAGTGCCACAGATGAGAGGAAGAACTGTAAGGACAGGAGACAAATGCAGCATGAGGCCCTAGAAAGAATCCAGGACAGAAAGAGGATTTAGTGGAAAGTGGCTGGTTTGGAGCAAGCTCTGTAGTTTTGCATTCATGGTGCTTCCTTTGCTTTGATCCCTGTGTGACAATTTTGCAAGATTTTAGCTGTAGGAAAGGCCTGGAGAAGGTTCACAGACATTCTCAGTACTATTTTTTGCGTCTTTCTATAGATCTTCAATTATTTTATAAAGATGTCAAAGATTAATGAAGTTGAGTTCCTTAAAAATAAAACCAAGTAGAATCTTTGACATTTTCCTTCCTCCCTCGCTGGACACTCTGTGAGGTATTCTGGGGAGGAAATACTGGGTTCAGGTGGCAAGGAGGAGGGCTGGGAACTCGAGGATAGACAGGGAGCTGGTCCTGGAGCATGGCGATTCAGTTATAAAACCTACCCTGACCCACATATAAAGAAACACAATGGCTTAATAACTGATGGGGCCCACTGGACAGGTGATTACAGAACAGTAGGACCGGTCCTGGATTTTGAGTCAAAGGAATGAACACAAACACTCAAGCATCAGTCATTAAAGTGTTGCTTTGTGATCTTGACTTGGTATCCGCAGAAATGGAGATAAACAGACTTTGTTGCATATAGTTATTGGGAAGATAAAATGATAGATGGATCAGAAAGGGCTAGGTAAATGGCTGCTATGAAAAGGTTGCTAAGATAACCATGAATGACAATAACATCTACCTGCCCAAAGTAATTCTGTAGCTTCTCTCCTAAGGCACAGTATCTTTGCATTTCAACCCATCCCACGTAGAAGCAAATCTGTCTCACCTCCTGCCTGACCCTGGAGCCCAGAACCACCAGTCTTCACAGGCAGCGGGCCTCAAGCGCCATCTGTCCTGAATTAACACACTCCTCCTTCGTAGGTGAAGCGCACAGGCCTTGCTGGCTGAAGCCTAAATCAAAGCAGCATGTTGGGCTTCCCGTCTGCTGGCAGGTCTGGAGGAGGAGCACTGGCCTTCTAGGTGGTTTCCCATCTAATTGTGTGATAAAACGTCTTTTAAACATTTTTACAGGCAAGTAATACAATTAGTTCTCTTTTTGCTTAAGCCTCCTTAGCAAAGAAGACACTGAGGAAAAGAAAAAAACAGCAGGAGGATAGACACTGTTGCAAATCTGCAGCGTCTGTACACATACTCCTGTCACCCAGCCCTCCAGCCTCCACACAGCCCTGGTCATTGCTGTGTTCGTTATTTCTAGCGCTAGGCACTTTGCTCATTGCTTCGAGGGTGGTTACAGGACATGAAAAGGAAGCTGTATATGTTTTGGGCATCTGTTCTTTAACTAGCTTCAAGGTCCATTTGCACTGATGGGAGCAGGCCTCAGGCTCTGTCCTGGGGACCCATCTTCCCCTGGCTTTCAATCAAGAGGTTTGGGGACACTGGGCACTTCCCATTCCAGTCTGGAGCAGTCAGGAGCAGTCAGTAAGTGTGTCCGCCCTTCCGGCTAGAGATTCAGGGTGGTGCCTGCCTTGCCTCGGTGGGGGACAGGCCCTGCAGGAATATACAGGGGAATGAGTCTGTCTAAACACAACACAAAAACGACAACTTGAGGAGCAGGTCAGGAGTGGGGAGAGGAAGAGACAGCCAGCCAGGGGAACGTGGGCAGCCCTGCTGGGACACTACACTCCCCATCTTCTAGACTGAAGGGGATGTCACATCTGCCTTTGTCCCACCCACCAAGCTCAGCTGTGCCACCCAGACTCTTCCGCACACTGCTTCAATCTAGGTTGCCATCTCTTGCAACCCAAAGGGATCAGATTGAAAAATTAAAGAAACCAACCTTTCCACAAACAGAAGACCCTGCCAACATAAAGCTGAGGCTTTTCCGGTTGGGGAGAAGTGTGACCCACATTCCTGACCATGTAGCAAAGCACCTAGCAGCCCCGAGGAGGCATCTGCAGTAAAGAAAAGGAGAGTTGCTGGGTCGAGCTAGCTTATGCCACATAGAGCTCAAGATCACCCATCCGGTGGTATTCTGTCTCCTCCCCACAAGTCTCCGATGTTCCAGACACCCAGGACTGTTTCTCCATCCCTAATTCCCAGTGTGCTACCACACTGATGCTCTGGTCCTCAACCTCCAAGTCCCAACTCCAACGCCCCATTGGACCTCTCCACGTGGGGCTGGAGGCCCTTACTGTGGGTTCCCATATCCCCGTAGGCTGCTCTGCTGCGCTGGAGCTCAGAAATGACTTGGTGCAGCACTTTGACCTGTGCAGGACTAGGGAAAGAGAATGGTCTCTACTCTCCCCCAAAGTGCAGCAAAGGCTTCCCTGAAAGTTCCCTTGTCTACTTCTTTATTACTGTTCTCATGGCTGAGACCATACACCCGACACCTGAAGTTAAAGGTGGAAAGGTTTATTTAGCTCACTGTTTATAGAGGTTTCAGTCCACTGTTAGCTGGGTCTGAGGCAGGGTGTATGGAAGGCAGGGATCACAAAGAAAAAATAGTTCATGGCAGGTGAGGACAGCAAAAGAAGCGAGGAAGGGGCCTTCACAGCATCTTTCTGCCCATTTCATACCGTATCTAGGTTACTGGAATTAGGATGGTGCCAAACCAATCAGTGGACTGATTTATCGACCACCCACCCTTAATCCCAGCATTGCATCATTAGTCAATCATACATGAATCAACTTAGATCCGGACTGAAAAAGGCACACCTAAGACCCAGTGAAGCTTTGGGGGACATCTAGACACAGCCACAGCACCTCCCTAAAAACTAGACCTAAAGAAAGAGACCCAACTGCCATCTCACCTTCATACTGCCAGGTCCTTAACCCAAGCATGTTAAACTCCTATCACAGAAGGAAAGACTGAAAATCAAACACCGCATCTACAGCCCAGGGAATCTGTCCCAGGCCACTGTCTGGTGCCCAGATCCATGTAAATGCTCTTAAAAATTCATTTTCTGGGCCAGGGACTAGCTCACTGGCACAGCACCTACCTGGCAAGCGCAATGTCCTAAGTTCGATTCCCATTACAAGAACAAAAATCATTTGTCATCCTGTGAATTGCCTACAGCTATCCCTTCTGCACTTCCCTTCCTGCTGTGAGGAGGGAATTTAAGCTTTCACAATTCAGGTCTTCTCTGAGTTTCAACTTTCTTAAGGTTTCCATTATTTCATTATTTCACCTGCCTATTAGTAAAGCTAAGCTCTTCTCCTGTTAATTTGTCTACCGTCTGTTTATTTCAGCAGAGCTAAAGATTCAAAGTTTCACAGGAGGGGAAGCACAAATCTTCTCTACAGTAGGAATAAGTGGCCAATCACATGACAAGACAAATACGGTATTGAATCAACACTTCTGTCCTTCCTTACCTTATGGGGGTGAGTCCTGGCTCTGTCCAGCTCCACTACACACCCTGAAGTGTCTCAGAAACCCAAGACTCCAGAGGACCTGCACTCCCCTCTGGGTATCAGCCTCAGAGAAGTCAAAATAAGGGGAATTGGAGCCAGCAGAGGAGAATCTAGAGATTTGGGGAAATGGTCTAGGCTGAAATGTTTTCTGAGGAGTTGAGGGCAGTTTGAAAGAACTATAATGGAAATGAACAGGGTGTGATGGAAATGAGCAGGTGGGGGAAATAGGTATTTAAAAGCACTTGGGAGGCTGAGACAGGCAAACTGTCTCCATTTTGAGGCCAGTCTGGGCTACATAGTGAATTCAAAACCATCCTGAACTACGTAGTGAGACCCTGTATCAAAAACAAAGACATATTTAATGAAGTACTTCCAAGCAGCCCTCTTTGTAATATTCCAGAAGAGTAAGGAAGGATGCACATTGTTTTGGAATGTACTCCAGCTGCCAAGTGCGTGTCTTTGATGACACCACCTGTCTTAAACACGCTGTCTCCAGATGCTCAGAAATGGGCAAGCACAGTGGCACTGGCCCGGCTTTGCTGCATTTGCCTCAGAACATTATTTCATGAAGATCGGGATGCATTTCTTGGCAAATAAAACATGGCTCTTTGCACTCAGCACATAACCTTTTACCAGCAGCATTTCATCTGGTAAGGCCTTGCCCCAGTCTGTGAGGAAATGGAGGCTAGAGATGAGGGAACAGGAATTCTAGGAAAATAAAGACTTGCAAAAGGTCAGGAACTCTAAATTATTTTCTCTGCAAACCATTCTGTAACCTACTGCAGGGAGTCCCAGAGCCATCAAGCAATGCACACCAGCACGTGAACCCTGGTGTGTCTCCACCCATCACTCCCAGGCCCTGAAGTCACAGGGTCCTTTCAAGGTTGACCAGATAGCTGGCTGAAGGCTGTTTGCTTCTTTGTTTATAATTCCATTGTAAAACTCCTGCTGTCTATTTTCACAACGAAGATAGGCTCTCCTCCTTCGTTCCTTCCCTTAGCAAAACTATAAGCACGCTAAGAGTACTGTCCAGCAGGTCCCCAAAGCCCAACACAGTAGGAATGCTGGGCACAATATAGGCTCTGGCACATAGCAGTTATTCAGAAAAGACTCCTCATTCAGGTTCAAGGCAGAACAAAGTCCAAGTCTATTTGGTGTGAGAGGTGCCCACTCTGATGAGAATTCTACCTAGAAACGTCAGCCTGGACTCCCTCCCCAGCATCCTGAATACCACAGCAAACACTGAAAGGAAGGAACCCTTGCTTTCTGCAGTGCAAAGCTGAAACAGGAACACAGAGCCAGGAGCCATCCCCGAGCATGATCCCCAATATTCCCCAAAATGAGCAGGTGGAACATGAGCCCCCTGACATGCACAAGCCACATGATACCTGTAAATAGGTCAGAACATACTCTATGATTTCAAGGTTTACCAAATCAAAGCCATTGAAATATTTCGTTTCCCTCTGCATATCAGTCAGGGTTCTCCACAGAAACAGAACCAAGAGCAGAGAAAAATTTATTTCAGGAACTGGCTCTGACGATTGTCGGGGCTGGCAAGTCTGGCTTCGATAGGGCAGGCTGGCAAGCGGAGAACGTACGTAGAGACCGACATCGCAGTGTTGGGCCTGAGCTCTGCAGGGAGCCGGCAGACTGGAAGCTGGGGCAGCCTGCAGCAGAGTATCTTCCCCCTTGAGGAACCCTCCATCCTTTTTCCTAAGTGAGCCACTCACAGCCACGTCCAGACAAGCCTTTGATAGCTAAGCAACCAGACACCAAACCTGAACAGACTGATGCATTCCACACTTGAAGCTAACATATAAAATTCAGTAATTTTTCATCTTCTTTGGACTATGAAGATCATCCTTTAAAATTTTTTTATTTATGTATCATAAAACTTACATACTTTCAGTACACACATAGATGTTTACTTTGTTGTTGGTCATCATAATGGAGCTTTTAGATTTTTAGCATGTCCAAAAGATTGCTCATCTATGTGAATGCTAAAATTATTTTTATTTGTAATTGAGATACAATAATTGTACATATTTATGGGGTGCAGCGTGACACTTCAGTACACGTATGAAACGTGTATGATCACATCAGGGTAGGTAGCGTGTTCATCACCCTAAATATTTATCATTTCTTTGTTTTGGAAACATTCAAAATCCTCTATTAGCTACGTTGAAATACACAGCTGATTGTGTCACCCATAGTCACCCCACTGCAGTCCTGGCTCACCCCCACAGAATGTCCCTGTGCTCATGGACAGATGCCAGGCTCTGCTGTGGCACACACCACGCACTCTTGTCAGCAGGAGGGTGGCAAGGCAAGGGCGCTTCCCAGACAGATGCGTCCCACGACAGATGCAAACATCACCAGTGGAAGGCAAAAGAGACAAATTATCCAGGTGCTTCAAGAGGAGGAGCAATCTGGTGGAAGGGATATCAAAATGTCTACTCTTCATGACAAACTATAGACCATACATTTATTTTAATCATCTGATCTAAAGTAGGCCTCCTCTAATAATTCTTTTTTACAGAAACTATAGTTTTACTTCCCTCCATGATATTTATTATAATACACAGCTCACAACCTGTATAAATATTAGTTCATCTCCGTCTCTAATACCTTGGAGTGAGTAGAAAGATGACAGCCAGCTTATGATGTGAAGCACACCTCAAAGGACACCTTCCCACTCAAATGACTCTGGTGTCCTTTCAGCCTGTTCCAAACACCTGTATGTTACTCTCTGTCTTCTTCCTAGTGGTGCAGGTTGGAGCAAAGGGACAGTGGGGAGAAAGAGCAATGACAGGTCAGATCGCAGGCTTTCCTAATATGCAGCCATCCCAGTCTAACACTTATTCCAAAGTGTCGCATCCCATCCCTCCCTAGGAAACTCTGTGTTTGGAGTCTCAACTGCACATTGACCTTGAGCAGATACTGAACAGTTAGTTGCCCTTTATGTGCTCGACACAGAGCCAAGTGAAGCCACAAGACCTCGAATAAGACAGAAGAAGCCCTGCCTTCAAGGTGTTTGCAGTCCAGGGGGAAAATGGACAACAGGAGGAAACAGGGAAGTGAACAAGACGATTTCAGGTGTGGAAACATGCAGTGAAAGAAACACAGTAAGACAGACACCCCAGCCTGGAGGCTGGGGAGAGATACCAGGGATACCTGAAGGTCCACAGCAAGCTGCCACAGGTAGAGCCAGGACTGAGGCTGGCAGCAGGGTCAACTAACAGATGAGACAACACCAAGGCCAGAAGAAGCTTTGTGCTCCAGAGGAAAGGCCAGTGTGTCCTGAGGAACGGCAGTTAAACAGGCCAGACAGCAAACTGTGACATGCGTACCCAGAATCAAACACTGCACAGGCCCTGGAAGCGGGGGAAAGCAACAGTCACAATAATGTCAACCATGGATGGAGTCAGCTCCAGGGCAAGGGCCATGCAAAGAATTTTACACCTGGCATTTCACTCAGCTCTCAGCAATAGTGGGCAATGGGCACCATCCTCATCACCAGCTCTCACACTCACTCTCACAGGTCCCCTCCCAGGTCCTCTCTAAACAACACCTTCTGCTTGGGCAGCTTCGAAACCTAGCTTGTGTCCTGCAGTGATGGTAAATCGGCCTGATCCAGGTAAAACTGAACCCATTTCACATCAGCAAAGCAAGAAGACAAAAGCCAGAGTCCCGATGTTCTTGCAGCTCTGCACGAGGCTCCGGTACCACCCACACAGCCTTTTATTAAGCTATAATAAGCTTCCGATGAAAACTGTTGCCATAGGTGAAGCTTACATATGGCTGATCCAACCAAAGAAAAACATGTTCAAATGCATTTTTAAAATCCCATTTTACTTGCAGCATGGCTTTTACAAAATCATTTGTCATGTTTTGGGCTGCTGATGCATTCCAAATGTTGCACTACAGGCACTTGGCAGTGCCCTGGGGTTACGTGGTAAACTGGTGACAAAGGCACTCTGTCCCCACGGAATGTACTTTTCAAGGGCTTGATTTGATGCAATTTGCAAATGCATAAAGTGCTAACCTATGGTTTTGTCAAATGGGTTAAGGGCAATGTGTTTCTAACTTGAAAGTTGACTGGGATATTTAGTAAGAGAAAGAACCTATGCAAATATTCTCCTCTGAGGAAAGTGCTCCCCAAACACTGCATGGGAGGAAAGCCAGGCCTAGGGAGGGCGCACATGAGCAACAACCCTGAGTGGATCTGAAGGGAGCCAGGAGGGTTCAGCGCTTCCTCGCTCCTCAGGCTGAAAGTGACCGGCTGCAGGCAGTCAATTGTGTTAAGCTGTGTCCTCCATTCCCTTCACCTTGCCCTTCAGTCAGTTTGCCCCAGAACTAAGCTAAGAAACAGATCTGACTACCCATCCCTGTTTGGCTAGATTCGCAACTCAAGGCACTGATGTCAAGGCCGCACAGCTGTGAGAGGGGGGCACTCCCGGTGATGTAGATGGGCAGCCCTGGCAGGGCGCTGGGCCCCTGCAGTTGCAGGCCAGATGCCATGGATTCTCCTTAAACTGTCCGGTCCAAGTTACCAGCCAGCACTTCCTGAACACTGCCCATGAGGCTCCTGCTTCCAGGTGCTGTGGCTACCACTGCATTTTCCGTATACATCACTTTTATTATCTTTATCAATGTATAAGCACGCTGATTTTTATCTTAATGTATTGATTTTAAAGGGAAATTTTATATTTCCATAGAAAACCCAATGCTGTCTGCTATCAATGGATATTGATCACTGTTCAAAAATGCATGAAATGTCCAGAACACACAACAGAAAGCAGACGAATAAAATAGTAGATTCCATTTTATTCCAGAAAAAAATACTATCACCAAGAAATCAGATCACAAATGCTGGCAAGCCTGCAGGGAAAAGGTGGGAGTGTAAACTAGTGCCATCACTATGGGAATCAGCATGGAGAGTCTTCAAACATCTAAAATTAGAAATTCCATTCCATCCAGCTACTTCCTTTGTAGGTATTCTCACCAAAGAGCTAAAGACATCATACTAATGAAACATGCATACACATGTTTACAGGAGCATAATTCATAATAGCTAAACCACAGCCTTTGGTCTCCCCACAGATGAATGGATACAGTGTGGTATTTACACACAGTGGAATACTACTCTGCCTTAAAGAAGAATAAGCTTGAATCATTTGTAGGAAAATGGATGCCCCTTGAGACCACAATGTTAAGTAAAATAAATCAGACACATCAGCTTAAATATCATATGGTTCTGTATATGAGAAACCTAAACTAGAAATAAAGAGAAAAATAAAAGGTAATGAAAAATAGGGAGACAGAACTTCTGGAAAAGGGAGGGAAGGGGAAGAAAGGGAAGCGATGGGGGTGCAAAAAGAATTAGGATGTGTTATATACATTTAAATCCACACAAAGAATGTAAGCATTATGTACTGCAAACATATACTTCTAAAAAAATAAAAAGTGAGGGAAATAAAAAGAAAAAGATTAGGTGTCACCTCAGCTGGGTAAAACAGTCCTTATACAAGAATCATCTCAAAATTTATTAAAGACATGAAACCATAGAACTACTAGAAGAAAATATAGGGGAAAAGTTAAACAACATTGGCCCAGGCAATGACTTCTCTGATATGACCTTACAAGCACAGAAAATGAAGGTGAAAATAGACAAAGGAGATTGTAGCAAATGAAAAATCTTCACAGCAAAGACGAATAAAAAAGTAAAAAATCTACAAAATAAAAGTATTTGTAAGTCATATACTAGATAAGGAACTAACATCTAAGATGAACAGAGATCTCAATACTAATCAACAAGAAAACAGGCCTATTAAGAAATGGCAAAGGACCTGAATACATAGGTCTCTGAAGAAGACATTAATGCCAAACAGACACATGGAAAGATGTTCAGTATCTCTAATCATCACAATACTATAGTCATCAGAGAAGTCTGGAGTCAGCCTGAGCTGGGTGCTGCTCTGCATGGCGAAGTGGCCTGGGGTCTTGGATCCTCCTGGAGATTTGTGAGGAGGTCCCCAAACAGGACTCAGAGGCAAAGCAAAGGAGCAGAAGATTTAAAGCACTTTATTATGCAACTAGCAAGGCAGGCTTATAGAGGACAGTCAACTTCAGAGACACTTCAGTTTTGTCTACTTCAAGTAGACAAAAACCTACAGGAGCTGTCTGCCCCAAGAAGTAGAGCAGAGTTTCTTAGAAGGCCTTGGATTTGGGGAGGAGCCAGGGCCTACGACTGACAATCAGCTTTCCAATCAGCTATGAGTCTCCACCCTCACATCCAGAGAGCGAGGTTTTCAAAACTGATATGGGAGCTAATTGTTGTTCACTGACGTGGTATCCACGGGCCAGTGAGGGTGGTCAAAACCATCAGCAAAATGCCTGAAAATGAAGTATAGCTGGGTCCACACCCTGGTGCCCCCGGCGTGCCCAAGTGGGGTCAGACAGGGTAAAGAAGGGCCACTTGCCAGGGCATGAAGCGTGCCTCTCAGAAATCTAGACTGTGGCCTTTTTTCTTTCATTCCTCTCTTTAGGGCTCCATGGCTGAGGTGCTGGCTCCAGCTCATTTCTGGCTGTCTACTCCATCAAAACCACTGAAAGTGTCTTATGTCTGGCAGATCAGCTACGGTAGAAAAATGAAAGATAAATAAGATTGCAGAGAAAGAAATGATTGATTTTATAAATTAGTACAGATATTTTGGAAAATAGTGGAAAGATTCCTCAAAAAACTGAAAACCAAGTTACCATGCAACCCAGCAATCCTACACTAAGTACACAGCCAAAGGAACTGAAAGCAGCATGTCAAAGAGACGCCTGCACACTCACATTCCCTGCCTCGGGGTCACACCTGCCAAGCTGCGGAGCCACTGAGGGGCCCACTGGTGCACAGAGGGACCTGCGCAATATGGTGCCAACACAACAGAATAGAGTTAAAGCCTTAAAAAGGCAAGCAATTCTGTCACTTGTGGCGATGTGGGTGAGCCCAGAGGACACTATGCTGAGCGAGACAAGGTAGGCCCTGAAAGACAAATACCAGCGGGTCTCATCCATACCCGCAGTCTTAAAAACGTGAACTTCTGGAAAGCAGGGACTGGCACGGCAGTTACCACAGAGGAGAGAGGCAGGTGGGGACAGAGGGGATGCTGGGCAAAGGGCATGGAATTTCAGGCAGGCAGGAGGAAGAAATCCCACATTCTCCTGTGCAGGAGGGTGGCTACAGTTAATGTTTTACATCTTTCAGAACAGCTGAGAGATCTTGAATGTTGTCACCACAAAGAAATGATCCATGTCTGGGATAGTATTCATTAAGCCTGATTTTGTCATTCCAAAATGTATACAAGCATCAAAACATCACACTGTGCCCCACAAATTAGATGCAATTACTAGTTGTCAATTAAAAGATAAAGCAAAACTTTAAAAGAAAGAAAAAGAAAAGGGCAGGAAAGTAGGGACAGAAGAGCAGAGGAAAACCTGGCAAGGCACAAGCACAAAGGCAACTTCAGCAAAGCATGGCTCTGTGCAGACACACGCTGACCCCTCATGGGTGTCACTGTTCCAGGCCCGAGTCACCCGCACTGCCACCCGCAAGCCAACCCACCCACACACATTTCCATAAGCTGCTCTCATGGTCTCTGTCTCATAGGAGCCCCAGTCTCCACAGGCTTTTGTCCACCCATGTAATAGCCCAGCCCCTCCCCTAGTCCCAAATAGCCTGAGGGATTTCCTGAAGCTCCTACTGTGTATGTGGAACAGCCGAGTCTCAATGGAGTAGTTCAGTGTTGACAAAATGTAAGCAACATAAACGTACAGCTGGCATATTCTATAAACAGAATCCCCAAAAATATATTAATTGCATTTGCAAGTCTCTAACCTCTAAGGAATCTTATACCCAAAATAAACCCACTCTCCTGCTCCTCTGTGCCCTTTAGCTTTCTATTAGCTTGGTGAAGGGCTGATTCCCTGCACAGGGTCAAGAGAAACAGTCCACTCTGATGTACACCAGCAGGGTGGGCAGTCAACCGAGAGATGGGAAGTTCAAAGACAGAGGCAGGAGAAGTCCCACCTCTCCAGTCTGGGCCTCAGTGACGACCCCTGCATACCCCAGATAGATGCCCAAAAGCCCAGCAGCTTCCACATCCCTGCTCCAGACACTGTAGTGTTAAATAATGTGATCAATCACTGATTCCCATATAAAATCTGAGACCAAGACTACTCCAGAGCTGAGCTGGATCTTACAGGAGAATATGGTTCATTCGTTTACTCTGGCAAATAGAAGGGAAAAAAAAGTAGGACTGACCAGGACAGATCAGTTACTTTGAACAATTTGGTTCACAAATCAAGGTGTTGGGCAGAATTTTGCTTTTGTTTTTCAAGTGTACATCACTTTGTCAAAGTAGCAAACAGGATTGTGGGGATCCTTCCCACATGAACACGAACACAGCCATCTTTTCATGAATCGTGGAACAAATTAAGTTTGTGAATCGAGGTACCGCTGTATGTTAAAGCATTAACCTATTCTTGCTACATGCTCATGACTTCTTTGCAAAGCAGAAGACAAGCTGTGGATGCGATTTCTCAATGACTCTGGTTGGCCCCACCAGCTCGCTCTCCTGTGTCAGCTGGTCAATACATTGTAATCATTTTAAGAAAGACAGCAAAGCCTTTCAGTTAGGACCAAATCCACGCCAAGATTTTGGGGACCTGTGTGAGCATGAAGAGGAAACAGAAATGATTACTTCTATCCAGTGAACAAAACTCCTTATAATTAGGTTGGTGGTTTCTATGGTAACTAGGAGCTGACTCTTTTATTTGAAATAAAAAATAGCAACACTCCAGCTGTCCTTGCCGTCCGGACGTTCCAAAGCAAATGAGAGATTTGATTTCACATTTGCCATGTCTGTTGACAACTTTAAACCACGTCTTTTACTTGTTGTTAAGTTTTGGCGAGACACTAAGTTCTAGTCCTCTGAGAAAACAGGTGTGAAAAACAAAAGCAAAAAGACACCACAACAAAATAATTTGCCTTCTCTGTCACCAACATGCTGTTTGTTTCTTTTTTTTCCAAATTATCATTTTTAGAAGACCAAGCTGCTTCTCTAAAGAAAACTATCATTGGTGGCTCGTCTGGAAAAACCACTGGAGTTCTCCAAAACATAGTTCCACATTTAGAATAGGACCATCCACCATCACTGGGGCCTGCATAAGGTGCTATGTGCCATGGCCTTCCTTGAATTATATCATAAAATGCCTACAGCATTCCCACAGAAGGTCCTACTATCATGTCCATTTATCGATGAGGAGGCAAAATAACTTGTGCAACACCAGTGAGAGCAAAAAGTCCACCCCACATCTGATGGTACAGTTTCTAGACTAGATTAAGGGGTGCCAACAACTGAACCATGACTGGTTGTTGCTCTGGGGGCTGAGAAACTAGGGAACTAAAAGCACAGAAGCAGTGACCAGGCCTATGACCAAGGCCAAGGCCAAGGCCAAGGGCCAGGAGGCCACTGGAGAAGGTAAGCTGAACCTTAGAGTAAAAGCAGATGCCATCCAACTCTGCCAGAGGCAGTCAGACTTGGGGCAGGCACAGTGACCAGCTAGGGAAGCCAAGGTAAGGGGACAGCAGCTTTGGCGACCCGTGGCACCAGGCACAGA